TTTCTTTGGAGGGGCCATTCAACGAAAAGATAAGCGTCAGGTTACGCCTAATTTTTGGCTTGAATTTTAAATATAATTCGCTAAACAATCTCGGTGCAGCTTGAAAAGGTCCCATTGTAAGCTAACTGTCAGGAGTAGCAGTGGGTGTGGGTGATGGTATGTACGTTCGCGGCAGCGACCGTGAGCCTCCGTAAGCAGTGATGCTACAGCGGATAAAGTACATATGTACATGTGCATGTAGATGCAAGAGATGACAATAACACACGACTCAACTCCGCCATTGCTCACGGAGAACTAGAACTTTATTGGGGAACGAGTCCCTGCAACGAGAGGGGTTACGCAGCCACACTGCTGAGTGACACTTCTCTACCCCCCTCTTAAAATTATTTGTTAAACAAATAATTAAATATAATATAATAAAGCTTTTCCAACAAAAGTTGTACTTTTTTTTACAAAGGTAAGCATAATTCATATAATTCGAACATGTCGTATCTACTCGACCCTACTGACTTCATCTACAGCACCCCTTAGTTTTTCCTCCTTCTCATGTAGGCGTCGCACGACGCATGTCACAACTACAAATAACCCACAGCAACTCAATATTTGGGTGTTTTGAGACTACCGTATACCTACTACTATTACATACTACATACGAACCACATGAGGCTAAATAACATATGTGCAGACAACATTTGTCGCAAAACTCACCACAAAAATCAATAGCCAAGCGTGGCATAATAACCTAATAATTACAACCATCACTACAACATATACACCAAACAATGGTGGCTTAGCATATACATACTGCTTATGACGTTACTATGTGGTTACTCCTACCACCAACCTACTACTAGTATCCCCACGCAGTAATTCCTACACTTTCACATACGCTTTGCCTTAAAGTTAATACTTACAACACAATTAAGTAACTATTGTGATATTCAACACCCTTCAGACATGAACTGTGTACACAAGTGACTAACGCGTTACATGTTTATAATATTCGGACAAGTGCGAAGTAATATATCATACACATACAGTGTTAGTAGTGCCTTAAGGACGCATTCAACCGCCACAAATTCCACACATTTTAATTAACTAATTACAACTCTACCATTACAACTATTGTATCCAGTGCCTTAACCTCATAATTACCCAAATTGTTGACAGTGTCGAACTTAGGTGCTAAACGTGACAACTTAAAGTACATACTTTCATCATCGCATTTTCTCGTGCTGGACTCGATGGTGTTTTGTACACAATCGCACTTACGTGATTCTGCTGCATTTATGGATATCAATGACGATGTGATATTTGAAGAACCTTCACTTAAGTTATCTTTGGACTTATTAGATTCCAATAACCAATATATATTAAGTAAATAAGGCTGATGCAAGGTACATCCGAACCTCCTAATTACCATTTAGGACATGCCCAAGGCCATGTTGACTTTTATGTTAACATGCGTGAGCAACCTGGCTGTTGCTTACGCTATCCCAGCAACGGAATAACCACTTATGCACATTTATGATACCAGTTTCATTAATAATTATTCGTACATTTTGCTTTAAAAAGTTAGAGGCTGCTTTTTTAGAGGCTGTGATATTATCAGGTATTCATGATGGTAAATCATCAAAAAAGGTAGAATACCAGATGGGTTTAAACCACTCACAATTTAAAGTACCCACAATTCAGATTATATTATATTATACTATGGACTTTTCAGTCACATTGCATACTATACAAATTTATTAAATATTGTCGTGGGATCTGAAAGATACATTTCTACGGAATCCCTTACTATCAAGAGCGTCCATTAAACATAAATACTCCGTGTATTCCTTTTAGTCTAAATAGTACGACTTAATACCTATTTTTGTTCCAGAAATGAAGTAAACATGTTGAAAGGGGACTAACCGATGTAACCTGACTGAAATATTTACAACTACATTTTACACCCCGATGAATATATTGTTGACTTTAATGTTTGCTTAAAATCAATGTCTTGAGTGGTTCTGATCTTTTTTTGCGAGTTTAACTCGCTTTAAAGCTGTCAAGAAAAGCGTGTAAAAAAATTGTCATAAGCCATGACCTGTCATTTGTCTTATTATCAAATAAGTCTAATTTGAATTATAATTATATGCATGCACATAGTATGTACATATATGTAACCTAATAGACTAGTAAATCAGCTTATACATATGGATAATCTATATTTCAAAATATTCACGTAGCCAAATTTATACCATCTTCCATGGCCAAGTCGGTTATGAATGTCTCATCGTACTACCCAACCAGAACCAAGTATTTAACAACCTACTACGGAAATAACGCTAAAACCTCTACCCCGCCCGCGTATTTGATTTGATTGAGAGAGACCAATTATTCAGTAAATAGTGTAGCCGTAAAATGTGTTTTATGTCACGGCTCCTCTCGATGTAAGTAGCTATATATAAGAAATGCATATTTGTGTAATGGAAAAATGCATACGCGTCCCTGGAGAAAACAGCTTCTCGGGATGAAGAAGGTGTTTTGCCCAGAGGCGAATTCCAGGTACTGGAATTATGCATCCACATCTTCTTCGTAAATAGTCTTTGTTCAGTCTTAAGCCTCGATTGAGTCCTATATAAAGCTTGTTTCCTTTTTGTCATCTTTCACACAAGAACTATAACACCATAGACAATTTTTTCATCATAAGTCCATCCCGCATCTCATAAAAGAACTGCAAGAAATAGTCGAATAAATTCTTCGCTCTAGACATATCAATGTGAATCCTAGACATTTTGTAAAATTTCCATAACCGCTGAGCAAGTACATGCAAAATTGTGGCATCTTTTTGTAAAATTTCTTGGATACGGCTTCTCGATACAATGGATATAACCGTATTAAATTGCTCTACACTATAAAATTAATTAAGTATACGTTTTCTATGTATGAAATAAAAAGTTAGTGGTCAGCTTATAAATTAAAACCTCGAATGGAGAGACTGTCTTTTCGGACGTAATTGAGTATCATAGTGGAGAGATTCCTGTTGCTAATAGCATTGAGCAATTCGGAAACTTAATGGCCTCGGTTGTAATTTATTTACATAACCGATGAGCAAGTTCCAGCAAAAATGTGCAATTTTATAATAACATTTCTTGGGTTAAGCGTATCGATTCAATTGATACAACCAAATTAAATTGTTATGTACTATAAAATTAATTAACTGAACGTTTTCTGTGATATGCACATTTATCTGTATTTATATTTCCCAATAGTTCAAAAGAATTCAAAATGTTTTGACACACCTGCTAAAACTTTTTTTGTCGATGCCTTGATTACCTACCGTATAGTAATAAATATATTGTTGCGTCATGAAAAATATAATCAAGATTGAATTACTATACACAATTCCAGATTGGATGAATAATAAAAATAATTCTAGCCCTTAAACCTTAGGAACAGCTTTCCTACAATAAGTACAGACGGGGTATAATAATGGAAATTTGCCACATATTTCTTTTCTCCGGAGTACGTAATATTACTGTAATATTTGGTAACCTAAGTAGAAAATTTAAAGATTTATATCGATTAACTTACTCAAACCTGGCCTCGTTAACACAAAGACCAGCCTGGATGGATTTAAAGTAATTGTGGTGAAAACATCAAAGAGCCTAAAATTGTTCCGTTTTTCAATACAGATGCTGAGAGGTTTGTGGAATTCGGAAAATAAAATGGACGAGACTTAGACAGATACAAAAGGTAAAAGAACAGAATAATGCATTGGAAAATGTGGTTCTTAGTATTTTAATAAAGCCTCATGTGCAGAACATATATGCAAATTCCGTAGGGTGCCTGCTTACGTGGGACTATTATCCATACGGAGCAATATTACTTCACAGCCCTTCCCTTAGAGAATTACAAGATATTAAACTAATAAGAAACGAAGTTGGAAAATACTTGCCTATGTAAATTAACACTTATATCCTCCAAATAATAAAGAAAAATATAATTGACATGGTCGTCTACGGGAGGAAAACCTCAACCTACCATTGTGTATTATTTAAATTAACAACTAATTTTTCCTCAATTTGAATATATTTCATTTCAGACCAAGTTAGACTAAATGGTAGGTGACTCAGCTAAAAATTTAACAAACTAAGCACTATGCGATATTTCCACGAACAATACCGTCGTTCAACCACAAGTAATATTCCAGAATTGCATTTTTGAATTTTTCTAAATCGTCCCAGGTAAATATACATTTTTGCGAGGACAATTAAGATCTACGACAATTACATGTAGTCATAGACGCTTTAGATAGAAAAGCGCTAATTGGTAGGGTTTATTTATTTGTCTCAATGGCACGCTAAATCCAACAAACAAGGCTATTCTGGCTATGATTCAACTAAACCAACCCAATATTTAATTCTGTTCGAGAAATTAATTAAATGTATCCATACGTCATGTCGAGGCCTTGTTTCTTTTTGGGTGATCAGGTATATAATCAGTGGAATACGATGATGGCAAAGCCACCTCCCACAATCCAGGTTTAATCCTGATTGGTTGTTGACAACCAATCAACGAGAGTCTCACTCGGACTCACGCGTTTAATTGGTTGTCCCAGGATTACACCTGGATTGTGGGAGGTGGCCTTGCCATCTTGGTATTCCACACTGTACATAATTCCGGTTTGTATTGGCCCGATATGTAGTAGTGGTAAGTTTTATAGCTCATCTATGGATGGGCCACACTCTTCAGTTGGATATCGAGATAGAAAATCGGCGCAAGTGTTATGAGATCCTTTCACATCTTTAGTTGCAATGATATTATGGTCTAATAAAGTAAATGCATATCTTGCCAATCATAATTCATGAAGTGGCACGATATTTTTAACAAAATTATCTATGTACTTCCGAAAATAGTTAAAAAACGCGACCATTTTCTTGGACAACCTTAGACCATGCAAAATTGTTACCAACAATAACTTGTTCCAAAGAAGACGTACTACTCCAGTATTACATTTAGGAACTTTTATATTAACAAAATTAAATCTTTTCTTTCCTGTAAAGATACACTAATTACAAGGAAAATTATTGTGCCTAAAAATTACTTATTTGCCATACACAATTTCTATAGTAAAAACGCCGACTGGCTTAATAAGCTTTAGGATGGAATAACCAATGTATCATGTAAATAAGGCTGTGGTACGTGCGTGGATACCTCCTCGTCACCATTTTGAACATGCCCAACGCCATCACTGAAGGGTACATGTCTTATTATATTATTAATAGAGGTTAATGATTGCTTTCCCAACAAACCTCCAACAAAGCGAATGACTGTGAAAACGCATTATCATTCATACTATTATCGTATCCAACAAACGAAACTATATGACCTGACATTCCTCTACGATTGGCTGACCCAGACCCGGATATTTGCGTGGTAAACGAGTTGAGTTTACGAAAGTTGTGGGGGTAGCTGTAACGAATTTCCTCCCGAATAATTATTTTTTGGCTTCCCGAATGATCACAATTGTGGTCATCGAAACGCCCCGCAGCAACGCCAAACATAGTTACCGTTTCTCCTCGGCTAAGGGTTAACTTTTGTTTTCTGCCCTTTGTCTAAGTAAGATCATGGTGACCCGAAGCGGACAAAATTATTTAGATTACAGCACTAGCCAGCTTTACACGATACATAGTGTTAAAAAGTGTTAAAAATTTAGCACGAATGTGAAGATGAAATTGTTTTAAACAATTAAATAACCGGCATGTCAAAAGTTTGAAGAATGAATTAAGAAAGGTCGTTAATCAGGCAAAATATGTATGAGCTACAAAATTGCTTTCCAGCTGAATTAACTAATTATTGTCTGAAATGGACCAAAAATTTTGAAGTCACACATAACAACAAAGTTTAAAATCCTAGTAGTTTTTATAATTCAGTACAAATACCAGGTATTTTTTTAAGATATAACGATTTAAAGACTTTGTGATTCGATAAATTTGGATCGTTTTGTGTTACGCACGATTTAGTTTGCTTTAAGCCGGACAAGATTATGCAAAATTCTGTTGTATGACTTAACCTAATATTTGTCTCTTAACCTAATTAGAACTAGATGGCGCATTGTAAAGTGAATACGAACGATGTCCTGGTGATTGTTGTCCCATTTTTAATACAGTCTTCCCATTGTAACTGCATTGGTGTTGCACACTATTCCAGACACAATTTTAATCTATAAAGTTTATGAATTACACAAATTACTAATCGGTAACAAAACTCCAGCCACAGAATATGTTACAATTTAAGTACATATCTTACTCACCAAAATAAGTAGTGTTCCTTTAATGAAATAAATGTAATCGCGATCTAAACTTGAATCCAAATTTTGCAATGGAGAGGTCCAGATTCATTTTTGAATACTGAAATTACATAAATTATTTTATTTTGACTTGAAATAACTGAAATCACACGTTTTTACGCATTAAACCCCAGTTTTCGCAAATTTGGAGCTCAAAATTATATACCAATTAATTTCTTACAAACAATTGTGTGCCTTCAATCTTACATAATTCATTTCCGAATCCGAATTTGACTAGTGTAACCTGTTTTTTGAACAGCAACCTATATTATTACGGAAGAACATTAGAATTGCACGTTTCAACATATTACACCTATTTACATATTTCTGCAATGAAATAAGAACAAATTCATTTCTGTTACTTGTACCTTCTTAATCGACCAATTTCACTAAATAAGGTCTTTCACAGGTTGACCAGTTCCCGTCACAAGGACCTAAATTAATAGAGAACGACAATATCGAATATAATTCAAAATTATGCTTTACAATATGCAAAATATGTGTAAAATTTATGCCAATTGCAAATATTCTTACCACAAATAACGCGTAAACCTAACTTCTCCAGTTGTCCTACTACACCACAGTCAACCACCCCTACGCAATCACCCCCCCCCCCACACTTTACCTCGACTTGTAAAAACCTTACATTTTCCAAAAATTTTGTCATGATAAAAGCAAGGATACAAGATAACTGGCTGTTTCTATGTGAAAATAGAGATGATATACAATTTGGTCATGACAAAGTCACATGTGGAGTAAAATGTGTGCACTTAACGACTGGATGGAAAGTACAATCTGCACCAAAAACTATACCACGACGTAATTCTCTTCATCATGCATTGGCACGTTCATCAATGATGACATCGTTTTGCTTTTTCACCGTAAGTTCCCACTAATCATGTGGCAACAAGCTTATCAAATTAAATTGTGACATCAGAAAATTCCGCTGATATTTTATGGTCACGTTACTTACGCACCAACCTCTCGACACAAGTGGGTTATCGCAGTTTAGTTGCATCCTCGGTATGTAAACTTTCCGTCATGATATGCATGCAGTCATTCCACAAATACATAAATATACTATGTATTTATGTACGCGAAATAATGCAAGTATTTAGGACATACACAAAGCATGAGACAAAATTAAATGATATCCAGGATCCCTCGTTGTTAGTACCGGTTATCCAATTTTTTATTTGACATGGCTTCAATTATCGCATTGTTTCCAGTACAAAATGCTTGTTGATATATGTACGTTTGTACATATATAAATATTTTTGTATATATGTAAATATTCACAACTAGACACAATTTTAGAAATATATTTCTATTATATTATTATTATTCAATTATATTTCTATGATGAACAATTTCCAAAAAACAGCTAAACGTAAGGTTTTCATTCAACTTTTCAAGTTGAATGATCCACGATTACATTATCCGAACCGCATAATGTGTTCTAAGTTATTTAATAACACTTTATTTTATTTTGACCCGAAAATAATTCAACTGTGTGACATGAACTTATTAACAGACTCATGCAAACAAACTCATGAACTAAATTTAATAATTTTCACGTCGAAATAAAATAAACTGGTATCAAACAATTTAGACCCCCTCATGCGGTTCAGCTTATGTAATGGTGGATCGATTGGAACTCTTGTAACAAACGGAACTATATTGATGCATGTATGAATAAATTTGTCAAATTAGTTCATAGAGTGATAATGCAAGCGGTACCTTATCACTGTACACATATCGTTGCCAAAAAGATTTCTCGGTTGTAAAAATATTTACATAACATAACATTCATGCATACCAGTATAAACTAAAGTACAATTTACAAAAGTACAAATAAAGCTTTAAGGTGGGCTTCGCTGAGTCATTCCCGCGCGTCTTATTCCACCCCATATGTCATGTCTGCTTATGGAGAACTTAAAATTAACCTTTAGGCGTTAATACATTATGTATTCAATGAAATTTAAATGTTATTACCTTAAAATATTCTATATTTTTAACTTAACAAAACCGTAGCTTAGATTTTTGGAAAACATATTCCTTCCTCAATATTTTATTGCCCCTCACAGGAAGGGAATTTTTTCCAAAAATCTAAGCTACGGTTTTGTTAAGTTAAAAATATAGAATATTTTAATGTAATAACATTTAAATTTCATTGAATATTAAGGCCTGCAAGTTAATTTTAAGTTCTCCATAAGGAAACATGACACATGGGGCGGAATAAGACCCGCTGGAATAACTCACCCAAGCCCACCTTAAAAATAAATCCTTATAATTTGGGTGGTACTATGCTTTCAAAAAGTCAAAATTCCTTCAATTTTTAACCCGAGTCAGGGCTTATGGAACCGTTATGTCCGTCCGTCTGTCTGTCCGGCACGATAGAGCCAAAACGGCTGAACCGATTGACTTGAAATTTGTACCATATGCATATTGGACAAAGTTAGGAAACGAGTTCGAAGATGGGCGAAATCGGTCCAGTGGTTGACCGGTGGGGGTCATCGGAGTGGGTGGGGTAGTATGCATCAAAATTTCAAAATTGTCGTAGAAAGTTCAAATTTGGTACAGTGGTTGCTAATGGCACCTAATGCAAGAATATGACTTCAGATTGGAAAAATTTTTATCTGGAGTGACCCTATGGGGTGACCCATACCGATTTTTAGAAAGTGGTTTAAAAAGATGAAATTTAATACGGTGATACTTAATGGCTTCTCATGAAATAATATGAAGTTAAAAGTTTGCAAAGTGCAACCAAAATGACACTGGGGGACCCATACCGTTTTTAAAAGTTGTTATTTTCATCTGAAACTTGGTATGGAGGCTAAAAACCACTTCTGGACTATATACAGCTTTATGTCGGTCAATTCGGACAAAAATTTAGAAGCGGGCTCTGACTTATTGAGTCAGGGACTATGTCCCTGACTCGGGCTATATGGAGTCTGCACTGTAGGTTTTTTCTATCTCAGTTTCGGTATATTTTTCTGAGGCATGTAAACAACCTCTGCCAGATGACCTATCAAAATTTTGTTGCACCAGTTTTTTCAAATGGACAAGAACCATGATGTAAAAAGATGAGTATGTATTGTTTTTGCGTAAACTTCGTAAATATTTTGTCACACTATTCATGAGGCTGCAGTGACATTGGAATATGGCTAACAGTTTATAGTCAAATTGATTAATTGTTTATTAATAAGCTTCTCAATAAAATGCTAATTGGTACAAATTAAATCCAAACAAAAATATTTCCAATAATAATCAATTATAACAAACTCTGGACAAAGGACTAAATTTCACAAATCGTTCCTACTCACACAGCGTCGCGAACTTAAGGTCGCACACCTCATCGTTCATACAATGAGCGCTCTGCACCGCGCCGGGAAATACCTTCCTCACACTGACACAATTCTCATGTCCCCCCATGTTGTCTGGTTGACCATTACCAGCCGGGTAAAACTGTGCTACCCGAGTCCCAACCCCATCCCATAAGAAGTCACCTTCATGACCCAAATCGTTCCCGGCCGTCCAATAGTTCGTGTCATCCGGTAATCCTTTATTAAACCGGGTGACCGGTAATTAATTTTAAATTTTTATTCGAATTTTAAATATGTCACCACAAAATTTTACCAGCTAAACGGATCCTTTCCAAAATGCAGTCATACTTCTCTTGAGTTTCTACGGTGGCTAATTTTAATCCATGGTTGGTACAGACAGTCTTCGCTTGCCCCCAGGTGACCTATTTAGCATGCATGAAGGGTGTTGATTTAATTCGTCCCGAGTTCTCCTGTCAATATTTGAAAACTTGCTTCTCAACAACGGTGAAGAACTTTAGGCAATTTTTTGTTACAGACACTACTCGGTCTTGCAATGAACTCTATATTTTGAGTTTGTACTAATTTTCATAAATGTGTGTCAGGTTCGGAAAATCATTAACCTCTCCATAAAATTGTGCACAATAGTCAAACGCCATTATTTTTAACCAATCAACTTACGCGTGTTCCATCGTAAGTTATGTAATACTTAATACTAATTGCAAACCCTATTAAAAAATAGAAAGACGCCCTGGATCTTAATAAGTTTGCAAGAATTTGTAACCCTATCTCGCATTAAATTATTTGTAAAATTTGACGACGATTTCACAATTAACAAATTTTATCGACTTAATGCACAATGCTGTTACGGACTGCTTGAATTACCCTTTTTTGAAACCACTAATTTTTCTACTTACCGCCGTGTAAAACACGGTAACGGCACACTTGGCTTTTTCTGGTCTTTTAACTTCACAAATATAAGCTTCTGCATTCGAATTTGGTCTGAGCTCCATGTGATATCGTCTCGAAGAATCGTGGGAAAATACGAGTTGGTCCACCTTCCTGGGTGGCGAAGTAACCAGAATGTGCTGGATAACTGGTGCGGTCATGATTTCATTGCTCTCCTTCCAGTAGTATCCGTCTATGGCGTCGTACACGCCACCCGTCCAATAAAGCAGACCTGTGTAACAAGTGTCTTAAAATTCTGATAAGGTGCAGTTAAATATCCACCACACAGTTTTCAGTCTGAAATGGTCAATTTCTACTTGTGATTAGGCATTCAATATAATTGTTAGCATTTAACCGCAAAACTATTTTCCAGACCAAAAGGGTGTTCATTCGACCCGATTTTGATTTTCGATATTAGAAAACTTGCACCTCAAAAAAGGGTCAAAATCGAAGTTTTTTTTTATTGGAGAAACATTGCTAATTCGTCTTTCTAAAATTTGCATTAATCATGTCCTTAACTCTATTGTTATGGCCTGGTGCTAATTTTTTTAAATCCCTGTAAGGTTAAAGAAACAATTGGGGCGAATTATATTTATCAACACCCTTTATTCTCACCTTTCAGCGCGCACACAGAAATACGCGGGACATTAGTTACTACATAGTGGGGTCATAAGTTCTCGTGAATGCATTTCCGGTAATAAATCCCAAAGTATTAGAGCTATCTGTTCGAAATTTTTATGGATTAACAAGGTATTAATATTGTTTAGAAATCATAACTTCTTTGTCAAGATTTCGTCCACGGGCAATTAGACAAGACATAACTCGTGACGGCCACAGGTCGATCGTGGTACGCGCCAATTTTCGTGCCAAAAGTATTTCAGACTTTTCACCGTTGGCAAAAAATTTAATAGAAAAAAAGGCCAGATATTTGTTGTACAGAAGTCTGACATCCGTTTAAGTATGCGGAAGTCAATACGAAGTCATCACCGTGGTGTGAATGGGAGCAAGTTGGCTGGAGAAATGAAATCTCTGTTTTTTACCGCAAAGGGTACAAGTTGAAGCCAAAAATTATTTTCAGAGTGTCCTAGAGACAAACGTTAATAACCTGAACCCTGGACCCTCCGAAAATCGCCATTGGACCTTTCAACAAGAATCTGCTCATGCGCAAGGTGCAAAATTGTCCAAAACTGGCTTCAGACGAATTTTCATGACTTTTTTTCATCCGTAGAACGGTGGTCAGTATCTGCAGACCTTAATCCCCTAAATTATGACTGGTGGTCAAAATTATAGGTACAAGTATGCTCTAAATTTCACCCAAGTGTGGAAGGGCTGAGGTCGCACTTACTGAAGATCTGGCGCTTTTCCCAGGAAATCCGTGCGTGCCGCGATCGAGCAGTTTTCGCCACGACTTATGTCTTGTGTACAAGCCCATGGAGGAAATTGTGAAAACGAAGTTATGATTTCTAAACAAGATTAATACCTTGTTCATCCACAAAAATTTCTATCAGATAGCTCTAATACTTTGGGCTTTATCACCGGAAATGCATTCACGGGAACTTATGGTCGGACTATGTACATATATTTTCGTTGAAAATTACGTAATGATAATGTCAACTTTTACTAGTTTTATACATATATTTTAAAAATAACCTTCTGGTCATTTTAAGCCTAACCCTTAGCTGCTTACTACAGTACCCATCTGAATGCACATTGGTCGGACAATTATTGATGAAGAAATCACTGGTCACATTCTCACCTGCCCCGTACTGGTCCAACCATCTATTTACGGCGTCCATTTCAGCAACATCCCCAAATTCAACTAACGATCCTCCGCCATGTGCTGCAAAAACGGCCTCACAATCGCGTTCCGCGTCAATTGGGACTTTCTATAAATACGTAAAAAAGTTTCCCACTAATCATAAAAGATTTTTGCTAATTTATATTAAATGGAAATTAAATTATGAATAGTACAATCTAACCGAATTAAAAGTGACGTAATAGTCAACTTCATCATATTTCCCGCCCTTCCCCAACCTTCCATACGTTCCGAGAAACGTATAATCTGCAAATTTAAAAAATAGGAAACTTAATCAACAAAATCTATCCACTTTTTGAAAAAAAGAACTTTTTTTTACAAGATACGACTTACATGTTTCTTTAGGGATTACGGCCGATTCAAGCTGTGCCACACCCCATAAAACCATCAGCAAACCTAACTTTGACGCCATTTTAATTCCCTGTTTATTAATTGAAATATAAAAGTTGATTAATCACAAATTTTGCATTGATTCCCCTTAAATACTGTTTCCCAATCTTGCCATGTAATCCTGACCTGGTTCAGAGTAACTTGATTGCTTTTACATTTTTCCGCAATCAATTTGGATTATTCATTTTTCAAGAATTTGAATCAATTGGGATTATATTTGCACAGTTGTGTACATATGTGTACAAAATTTATACATTGCTCATTTACCAAGAATTGGACGAAATTCGGTCATATGCGATAACCATGTCGGCATTTAAGCCATAAATATTTCGCAGAAAGTATAAAATGGGTCAAATCAGATGAAATGATATTACCCACTAATTCGTATGGGGCCGTTCATGAATTATACGTATAAGCCGAGAGGGGGATTGGGTTTTACGGCTTGAATGATATCATGTTTATCTATATACCTATGTACATATAAATTTAAAGGCAGGGGGCTCTAGAAAATCCTGATCTTGCGTTATGCACATAATATATGAACAGCCCCTACACGCAAACCGAACTGTATGGAAGCTTCACCTATGTATGTAGATAAAAGTTTTTATCACAGTGTCATGCAAACATACATAAATAAATATCCTGATTATGCAATACCATTTCACAAGGTAAAATTTACTCCACTCTTGGACCAAGAAACCCCCAGAAAATTAGGTGTGTATGTGTGTAGATGGCTGATACATATTTACGAAAGTAACACCTGTCTTCGATTTAAATTGGACCACAAATTAGTGCGTTTCCAAAGAAGCCCATGTAGTCATGGAAATAACTTGTCAGTCTGTCTACCATTCTGTCCTTGTGTACCCATCTTAGCTTTACAACGAATTCTAATTTTGACATGCCGCCTACGCCAATGTGTTTTTAATGTTTTAAGCACTACACTCTTAGCAAAATGGTATTGAATCATAACCAAACGGAGTGCATATATGACTTAACCGGAGCTGTGATAACCGGCAACACCGCATAGTGAAAAATATACACAGTTGTGGTGATGAAAACTCACTATCAACCAGGGAAGAAATTATCACCAAATCAATACCATCACGGAGTGTATATATGACTTCACCACTTTGCCAAGAGTGTAAGTTATGTAGGCTTTGTTGGTCATGAGGTTGGTAATGTTGGAATGTCTTTTTATCAAGTACAATAAACAAATAAGCTTAACCCTTAAAAATTGTAGATGCTACCTTGAAACTTCAAAGTTAAAAAGTATTTAATGGGAAGTTTTGAAGCAGGGTTACAAGTGATATATATCACTGACTAGGGATACCTTTTCTATGATAGTTGAAAAATGAGTTCTAATTTAACTTTTTGCATGCACCATGATATGTTTTGATTGCAAAGTGCAAAAATTTTTCTGCAAAACCAATTTGCTAATTTTTTAGTAGCCTTCAAAGTTGGCGAAAGTGGGGGCGGAATAGGCAGAGTGGGAGCGGGTGGAGATGGGGGCGGTCGTGCCCCCCACTATACATTAACCACCTGTGACGGTCATCATTATCTGTGTGACCCAAGGAAATCCATCAGTAACTTATGTTTGATAAATTTAGTAACTTATGCTTACTTGAAATTTAATTAATTGTAAGAAAATTCAGTTAAGTGAATGAAAAAAATTGATGCATGTTGATGGCATTGTGCGAAGTGGTAAGATCAGTTTTCCCAGTTTGCGCACCAAATACTTAAATCCTATTGTTATTTTAGTCATCTGCTCTTTCTCTTTTGTTAAAAATTCTCTGAAAATTGTTCAATTAAGTAATCATATTAGCAATTACCACTCTAAATATGGCGAAAATCATTAAAGTGTGCCAATTGTTACTAGAATTAGTAAAACTAAAATACGACACCGCTGGAGTACCCGCTGGATAATTGACAGTGGCTTAAATCTTAACGACTTAGCAAGTGAAGGACTGATTTTATTAAAAAATTTACTTAATTTTTCAACTAGTACATGTGAAACGCTCGATGCATTGGAAATTTCCAGTGACGATGAAATTGACATTTACGGTGGCAGTGCAGCTCAAACCGACACAATTTCCGAAGAATCATCATCGCAGGAATGGGAGATTGAAAGTAATAATAGTTTATAATAATTATAATCTCGAAGAAAGGATAAAGATTTAAAGTTTTACGACAGTGTTAAGTCAAATAAATTGTTTAAAACTAGACGACGTTTCCCTAAAATATCAACTTATGCAACAATTTCTCGGATGAAGACGTACATCGACCAGAATGGCAACAATCTGAAGAAGTTAAAAGATATAGAAGATTTTGTATTCGAAAGATTTAATTTTGCAAGAGAATCTCTAATACACATTGGTGAAGTGGATTTAAAACGCTGGAGAATTATAAAATCTAAAGAATTATCTTTGCCATTCAAACCTAGTTCAACTTGGGTCCATAATTTTAAGATTAAACATAGAATTGTGTCGCGAAAAATAACCAGATCATAATTACCGTAACAGGTGGTGGTAGTGTATAGCGAGGGATACGACCGCCCCCATCTCCACACACTCCCACTCTGCCTATTCCACCCCCACTTTCGCCAACTTTGAAGGCTATTAAAAAATTAGCAAATTGGTTTTGCAGAAAAATTTTTGCACTTTGTAATCAAAACATATCATGGTGCATACGAAAAGTTAAATTAGAACTCATTTTTCAACTATCATAGAAAGGGTATCCCTAGTGAGTGAGATTTAGTGAGATTTGGTGATATATATCAATCATCTCACTTGGGGCTGAGTGAGAAATATGACAAATAATGAGATAAACCTGTAGTTCATGACCCCGTCCGCTAGGTGGCGCTAGTCCATGGCTCATAAATCTCACTAAATCTCATATTTCTCACGTCTCACTATTTCTCATTATATCTCACTGAGATGAGATTTGTGAAGGTGAGATGACATTTCTGCAACCCTGTTTTGAAGCCTAAAAAACTGGTTAGAATGATGCTACATAATAGTCAAACAAACTTAGTCCTACAGGGGATTGGGCCAAATGCTTATGTATGTATACTTGACGTAAAATGTATATGAACGCTCATGCATTAAAAATCAGTGAATAGCGTTTACAAATTGTAGATTAATTAATACACAAATTTAATTAGTATTTCAAATTTAGCATTAAAATAAAATATGTAAGGAGCTTATGGTAATTCAAGAAATGTTGAAACAATTTTGGTAATTAGAAATTCGTGCTCTGCTCACTAATAATAATAATAATGATAGGATTAAATGAACATAAGAGCTGCCCGCATATTGTAAGTGTCAGGACGTTTTGACCTGCAGGAAATGAATGCATGAATCAAATGTAATGAAACTTTTGTGCAATACTGACGATGAGTATGCCAAGGTTTTTTCATCCTTCAGTGGTCCAAATATACCTTCCCTACCGGTGGAGAGAATACTTTGTCGTGCACATCTCATGAGCGCTTTGCCACTCGTTTCACCAAAGTCTATGACGAATTTCTCTATAACCTGCCTAAATTTTTCAAAATTTTTTGGTGTCCTTTTTTCATGAGAGTATTATTTCTTAATTTCTGTCCAAAATCATTCAATGGGTCGACACTGAGGTACCTTTGGAGCGCAGTCTTTCTTATCGCCGAAATCAACTTTTTCCCCTTGGAGGTACCCGATCATTATTTTGGTATTGTGGCACGTACCCATGTTCGGCCAAAATAAAACGTGTTTGTCTTTGATAGGGGGGTCAATCTCTTGATGATACACTCTTTTAAATAAAGGTCAAACTTCATGTTCTTGGTGGAAGCGAATGGATTTGAGACGCTCCCATTTTTGTCGATCGCCAGCCATTTTATGCATTTCACTGGAAATTTTTCTTGGTTTTGAATTTATATTTCGAACAAACGTCATTTTTACTCTACATGAGTAGAACTTTACACGATTGATGCTTCGAGGTCAACGGGGCAGTGGTTTTTATTATCCACGACGACAAACTTCTGGGAATCAGTTTCAACATTTTCTCATCAATTTTTTCAAAATTTGCTTTAGCTCAGGCTTTTTTATCTTCACTCTATTTTGGCGCGGTTTTCGTGTTGTAAATTTTGAAGCCCATCTTATTGGCTTTGATCTTGCCCAGATATGTTTTCGAAATTTTTAGTTGTCTGGGTGCAACCCCCACGGACCTGTTGGGGTTTTCTATAAAAGTTTTTTCACGTTTCTCGTGCGTGTTTTGGTCTGCTGGCAAACAGGTCGACAAGGCCAAATTTTATATTTTGAATTTTCACTATCCTTAGATACGTATAGTGTATGATTAATTTTGTCCGGTTCATCCCTGGACGGATAAAGTGGTCTCGAGCCTTTTTCTAATCCGAGATAATCACTTTTTCGCACCAGTGGCAAACTAATTTTTCACTTCGTCTAAATTTTGTGCTGTCATTTTTTAACGAATTGAGATAATCAAATTCTGTTTTCGGTTTTTGAAAGCTTATCCAATTTGCCAATTTGTATGCCTTTTACATATGCAAAATTAACTGCTAACTCGTTGAACCAATAGAGGGAACCTTGACACTTTCAATATGCGGGCAACTCTTAATCGTCGAGACGTTGAAAATTAGTTGCACTTGGCCACTAGTAATAGATTTAACGTGTATTTATGGTGAGCTTGTCTAACTCGCTAAGCAGGCGGGAACCTGTCCTGCAGCAGGACATGTCTTGCGATGGCGCCGGAGACTCGTCGCCAACCAGAGCTTTTGGCCACAAACTTCACATTCGTAGTTTGGTGAAGCATTGTGGCGCCGTACATCCTGGTCTAAATCGGTTTTTGCCGTAGGCCTCTTCTGGTTCCAGGATGAACACTTCTCGGTTCTCGGGTGGACTCGTTTCCACGTGACGTTTCAACGGTGTCGCGTGCCTCTCGTCACAAGATGGAGGGGATAAATTGCTGTGAAATTCGTTTTTTAAAACATAATTTTTATATGCCTATGATCTTAAGCTTAATACTAAGGGCGGATTTTTCGCAGGAAACGATAAATTCTTGTTTTGTATTAAATTACGCTCTCACTTGAATTACTTGAATTTAAGTACAACTTGTATGAAAAGGGAGAGTTTCTTCAAGCACAATGTTATGTAGTTGCTTATTATAAACTTTTTCAAGCGAAAACTCCATCCTGAGTACAAGGCTTTAACGGATACCTATAAATGTTGAAATATTTCGAAAATTGGAAGGGCTTAAAATTTTTAGGACGTGCTACGATTACAATGTTTGAAACATTTCTGACATCTAATTAATCAGTTTGGTTATTCATTCTATAATGTATCGCCTGGAAGAAGTACATAAAATTAGTTATTAGTTTTTGTTAACTTACATGATCGTGCGTGGATTTTAACTCAGCCAGAATTTCTTCCAGGCTGGCGATGCATTCGGTACCAATACAGGGATCAGCACTGCGACCAGCGGAGATGCCACTATCTCGGCGATCTGCTGAAATGCAAAGAAACCCGCGGTGTCAAATATTTGCTGTAAATCTATGAGAAAAAGGGCGATATCAAATTTACACTAATTACATTTAGCACACTATACAGACACAAACACCTATCTAAAAGCCCCCTTCACGGATGTCATGTGCTTAAAAAATTAGTAGATATGTACCTAAATAACCAATGTGAGTGTGTGAATTCTGGCACCTTGTCCATAACTGCAAAAAATCCAATACGCCTGAAATTCAAAGATCAACACGCCATCTACGGGTTTAACCATTATATGACACTTCAATATGCACATTTTCCGCCAAGTGAAGCTTATTTTTTCCTTCGTGAAAGATACAGCGCCTTGTGATCAATGAAATCGGATTAATGATTATCTACAATTAGCTATTGGTCCTAGAAATTTAGGGATTAAGGATTGAGATTAAGGATTAATTCACTCCTGAAATTATGATTAATTTGGGGATAAAATTGATCACCGGAATACGGGATTAGTATAGTGGACTAAATATTTTTCTTAACTTCTTTTGATTGAGAATTAAAAATTAGAAATGAAAAATCTATAATTGAGCACTTGGATTACGGATTAATTAATCCCCAACCTCTATCCCGGATTAAGCAGGTTCTAGAAACAAATCGTACCTCGAACACAACCATTCCTTTGCAGGTGTCTTTTTCTGCCACACAAAAAGGCCTTCCAAAAAAACAAGGTAAATTTCCAAAATTAGTCTTACCTTCCAGTCTGCCGGCCAGAATTTTTTTCTCCTTCGCCTCCTCCGCGTCAAACATCTTCCACGCAATAATTCCCGCCAATACGACCAGTGCAATGAGGAGAAGGTAGATCGACCATGCGAAAAAATTTAACATAGCGTAGAGCCGCTGCTCCACCGGGGTCGATTTGAACGAGACTTGACCCCCCAAACCGCCCAGAATCGGCCAATAATTCGCCACCATCATACCCACCGTCACGGCCATGAAGACATACATGACGGTGTTGAATTTGCCAATTTTCTCAACATTTTGAACTTCCATCTCCAACCTCGTTTTGACACCCTGCAAAAAATTTGGATTGCGATGTCGAATATTTTATTGTTTTTGAAATTTATGTAATTGGTGATGGATCAAAAGTAAAAATCGGGTTTATGTATTAGTTTCACTATTAATAGCAGGGGAGGCCTCGCAACGTGTGGTGACATATTTGGACCAAACTGGTATTAATCGCTTGCAAATTTAATTCCATACTTATTTGTTTATAATGATTGAAAAATTTATTAACTTATCAGGTATTAAGTTTGCATTAAATGCGTACACAAAATATGAATTATTAGCTGGCTATATTAATTCAGCAATATAAATATTTAAATCCTGTGTTAATTATGTGGTTTTGTGTGTCGTATTTTTGCATATATACATATATTTATTTAGCTGACTCAAAATAGTAGTTGAGTTTTAAACATTGCAATAATGGGCGTATCAAATGACTTGTATGTATTTAGCGTAGATGTTATTTATAATTTTGAAACGTGACACCATTTGAATTAGTGATGTTTTGTGATTACATAATTGTGAAATACGTTTTGTTATCGGGATATAATAAATCTGCAAAAAACACATCGCTAAACTCCCTTATTATATAAATAGGGAATTTAGCGATGTGTTTCTGAAGATTTATTACCTGAAAAAATCGAACTGTTTTATAACCGAACCGATTTATATTGTAGAGTCGCGTAAATATTTTTTTACAACGGTCTTCACCAAGAGTTTTCTCATTTTTGCTCTTCAACTTGTTTCGACATTTTTTAAATTCTCAAAAAAAAGCAAGAAAAAGTCGAATCTTCGGTCCTCAAGCAACTTTCGATGAAGACTGTTTTCGAATATATTGACTGGTCTCTGCACAAAAATCTCGCACTGTGCGATTTATTTTTAATTTGGGCTCCTCCCCCACCGCGACGCGGAACAGAATATAAAAGCAAGCCTGTTACAGTCAGACTCTGCAAAATCGCCTCTACAAACGCCGAGAATCTTATCTAAATCAATTTCTTGACTCCGGCCAGATTCCGTTTTTCATTATTGTAACTCCATATTAACGTTACAAGATATCAAAACTACAAAAATATAGCAACCATGCAAAAATATGTGGTCCATGTACTACGCTCATTCTTGGTTGCATATTCGTTTTAAAATAGTTTATTTACTTCTGTAAAGAATTACAACTGAAACAAATTAATGGATGTCGTATCCAACTTTCGCTTATATTGCGCTTCTATTAACACGTAGGATCGACTCGTTTTCTAGTTTGGTTGTCAAAACTTGTGGATAAAGGTTTTATGGTCTCGCGAATCTTTGAAGGATTGGCTTTGAAGGACAGAATTTAGGTTCCCAAGCCTGGCTTCCATCAATGAAATGAGGTCCTTAAAAAGATCATCGGGATGTCCCAATTGTACCGCACGATCAATGTAAGCTCGTAAAGTGTCGAGTTGCGACGTTGAGGTTTGTTCTGGTGATGTCAGTTCAAGCGAAATGTCCTTCTTCTTTTCCTTAGCTTGTAGTGCCTCCTGTTGGTAGAATTGGAGCACATCTGCCGAAACATCCTTAGGGTCTAGCTGTCCAGGATTATCGTTATCCGACTTAAAATTGAGAATAACCCCATTTAATCATAACCCCCGTAGGTAAAAGCAGATGAATAAGAAATAAACAGGAATTGCCGAAATAGTTGAATAGGTTTAATTATGCCTTACATGCGTAAAATTTCCGGGTTCCTTTCCCAAATTCGCGCTTGAGCATGATTCCATTGAAGAACACGGTGATTCGTCTGATGGGCTCCTAGCTTTATGAACTATAAAGTGAGTGTGGTTTGTACTTCTTCATATTTTTTTCATAAATACAATTTTTGGATGATAAAAATGTAAAAAAATCTAAAACGTTGAAAATCCAATACAGGTAAAAATATTTAATAATGGGTAAAAATTTTCATCACCCTATCTCTTTAGATGTGGAGGATACAATACAAATGTTTACCCGTAATCTAAATACGGTTACTAGTACTGCTTTTTCTCAGATTTTTGTAAACATTGCCGGTATTGTTTATGCTCAATCTGATACTTTAATCTCTTCTCCTACGCAATGACTTCAATCTTTTTACTATATTTAAGCTTTATGCCTTAAAAAAATAATAACTAGATGCCACCAACTGTAAGCTTGTTTTGATTTTGTAACCAACTTTGAATCTGTAGGGCAAAATAATTAGTCGAACACCATGTACGACTAATTATCTTGCCCGAAGGATTTTCTAGTCGTGTACGGTACACGACCAGCAATCTAGATGATTCTTTTGGGACTCATTCATTTGTAGAAATAAATGAGTTAAATAGGTGTTGGTGTGGGCCAGAGTGTGGTCGAATCGATGTTTGGAATCGATGGTGGAATTGCGTGGGGGGTGTCCAAAACAATAATAACCGCATGCGAGTGCATTGAATTGTCGGCAATATGTATGTCCAACTGGTGACCTCCGTGGCTGGACCATAGCTCGCAATAAATTGGTCCATGGTCCGTCACGACATGGTCCATGGTCCATCTATGGACCAATTTTTGTGGTCCATGGTCCATCATGGACCATGGACTAGACTGCTACCCCTCGAATTGGTAGGATTCCGCCTCACATGATGCATACAGTAGGGTCAGGCGCTTGAAATATAACGATTTTGGCCTTGAATAATCCCGGAACGGTTTGTCGTAGCGGGTCAAAATTTTGAACAGAGGAGCATGTTATCCTCAGGTAGTTGTGTGCAAAAATTCAACTCTCTACTTTCAAAAATACCTCCCCCACAGCGGCCAGAAGTCAAGACATTCATTTTAACTGTTTCCTAGCTTCAAGGTCCTTTGCATAATTTTGGATCTACTTTGCCGTCTTGGAAGACGCTGCGTCAGCATGAAACATTACGTTATTTATTTTTTTACTGTACAATTTAGGAAAATATCATTCTAAAAGTGGTTGCAATATACGGTCCACATAATACTTTGCAGATGCCTTTACTTTTTGGGGGATTTTGATAAGTGGGAGGACACCACGACCGTACATTGCACCCACGACCATAAACTTGTTAAAAAAGTTCTCCTCACAGGGAGGCACAAACTTGCTTTAATTGTTTTCAGCATTTGTAGTGTAGTGAGCTCTTCGAACCCAATTAGTATTTTGTAGAGAAATTAGTACTTCGTCAAATGTCACCAAAAAGTCACTCTAATTCCATAACAGAAAATTTGAATAAATTTTTTTGTAAACACGGGCGCGATTTTTTTCCTGTTTTTCAGTCAGCTTATGCATACGAGTTTTCCGACGAAGTCGTTTCTTCAAAATCTTAATTTCTCTTTTCACTCAAGGCTTAGACACCCCAACCTTACGGGAAATTTCCTTTTGGGTCGGAGGATTGTCTTTTGAGGTCAAGAGGTCAATTTTCCTAAGAACGGTCGAAATTAACACTTTTCTTTGCCAACTTCTAGGGATGGTGGTTGCCCTTCACTCAAAATTTCTCGCTTTTCACCTATATTTTTCAATACCTTATTGATTCTAGATTTCGAAAATGTAGTCACTTCACTTTTAAGATGTTTAATTATTTTGCTGTATGAGTAATTAAGTTTGCAACGAGTTTTTATGACTGCTCACCTTCTGGGGGCTGTGGCGGAGGCAATTTTGAAAGTAGAGGGTTGAATTTTTGCACACGCCTATCTGAGGATAACATGCTCCTCTGTTCAAAATTTTGACCCGCTACGACAAACCGTTCCGTGGTTATTCAAGGCCAAAATCGTTATATCTTAAGCGCCTGACCCTGTACATGGGTGGGGGGATTCAGGCTTGTTTGGATCTAATTTAGATGCTGAGTATTTTTTACAATTTAAGGGATTTTCATCTCTCTACGTGTGGGCATAAAGCAGAATACAAATCTATGAGAATTTCCTGGGCCTAGTAGGGCTTAAAATGTTCAGAAAAATCGGAAATCAATATTTTTTTCTGCTAATTCTGTCGTTTAACAAAGGAAGGTTCCTGACTGGTTGTCGTGCCCAGGGTATCCACTATGTTTTTTTAGATTTTACTAGAAAGCTAGATGAAGGATTCTTTCATATTTCCGGGTAAGCCTCGTATTTGGCACCGTTGCATGGCGTCACATTGGCCAAATTCGAATGTCTTTATTTTTAAAACGGTCCTAACTTTTGAAATTCTGGACGCATTCAAAATTTTTTGATCAACGTCATGACAAATAGTTCAACTTTCGGACGCAATACAATTTTTCAAAAAACTTAGCTTTTTAATTATCTTAGATATCGAAGTTTGTCGAAAAAATCGTAAAAATATCTAAAAAATTAACAAGTTGTGTTTTAAAGTTATAGAAGTTTAAAGTTGCTCGAGAAGTTTGGCGCCACGCAATGACACCAACTACGAGTTTTACTCGAAAATATGCATGAATCCTTCATCCAGGGTCATATAGGTTTCTAAAAAAACCTAGTGGTACCTTGGACACGGCTAGCAGTCGGGAACCTTCCCGACTGTTTGTGTTTTGAACAAAGCCACCAGCACTTGTGCTGACGCTCGTACGACACCGTTAATAAAAACTTCAATCAATCAATCAATCAATCAATCAATCAATCAATCAATTGAACAGTTGGGTGGACTGGGTTTGTCTCAGGTGAACCTGAAACCCGACTCAACTTTGTTATGAATCAGTTCCGTATACACATTGTCCATTCCCTCCCTTGTACTTATCGTGATACTTAATAATAATTACATATGTAGGTTACTTACCAGAAGCAATATATTTATTGTGGGCTGCATTAATAATTAATTCAACATCATTAATGCTGCTGGTCCGTCTATCCAACCGTCTTTGGGTTAAAGAAATTATCAAATCTTCCGCATTTTCTATAATTGGGTGCTCCTGGACGAGTTCAGTGTCCCTATCATTAACGAGTCTATCAAAATACGAGGCCTTCGCCCTCGGCGGGATCCTCTGCAGAACTTCCCACATAATCAACCCGAGTGAGTATAAATCTGCCTGGAAACCATAATTTCCGCTCATTACTTCCGGAGCTGCATACGCTAATGTTCCCTTGGTCATAGTATAGTTGGTTCTATCTTCGTCTTTCTCGCTGTAGCATCTGGAGTTACCAAAATCTCCAATTTTAACTGGGAAACTGTACTCGCATCCGGTTGAGGGCAAACGAGAAAACATAATATTGGATGGCTTTAGATCACGATGCATAACGCTATTGTTATGAAGGAATTTTACACCATTGATTAGGTTGCGTATAATTTCAGTTTGAACGTGGGGACAATTAGTTTGACTTTCATCAACCAGCCAGGAGCGCAATGATGGCCCGCATAATTCCATTTGTAGGAATGTTGTCATAATTTTTCCTTCGTTTTGAGCACGAGCGATGTACTTTTCTATTGTGTAGTGTGTCTCAGAATCCAAGAGGTCTGGTTTGTAAAATCGGCGTTGAATTTGTTCACTTCCTAATGGCACTGCAACAAAGTCGTAAATCCTGACGACATTTTCATGTGGAGGTAACTTTTTTATGACGTCGTATTCCCGTTGGGCTTGCACATTGACGTTGGCGTCAAAGTCGGACGGAAATGAAATTTTAACAGCACGAAAACCTTCCCAAGTTTCAATTTTAAATACTAATCCAAAGCTACCACTTCCTAATAATTTAATTTCTTTGAAAGACTCCCAGTCTTTCGAATGTGCAATTGTTGCGGCCTGATTTTCCATTTTTATTAGGAACGTGGCAAACACGAAAGGCATATATTATAACCTATGACTTTTGGAATATATTTAAATTTGAGTTTTGCATCCTTTAGCAAATTATGATGAATTATTGACGCACCGATACTTATCTACTGTCTGCTTTGTTTCAAACTTGATAAGCTGTTGGCAACAAATTGATAACTTATATGACAAACACTGGCTTATCTGCCAGCAAACATTCGTAGCTTACACATACGTATTGATATTACTTGTGGATGTACAAACGTATCCATAGTTATGACAATTTTCTTGAATAACACAGTCATTTCTTGTCTCTCAGAATTCTTACATTTACCAAAGTTATCGTATGGTCAGGACGAATCGATTGACACCTGACTCGATGATACTGACATGGAACACTCACGACCTGTCGTTGAAGTCAGTGCCCGATCTTGCATTTTGGCGCGCTGGGCAAACATATGACGCGCCCCAGACCCTCTAAAAAATATCTTAAGTTTCCACAACTAACCTGCTAAAGTAGTTTTTTATGCTTTTATAGCATAAAAGTATGAAGTATATGCATACTATTCGGTTTATTAATTGTTAAAAAAATTCAGAGTTGGACAATTTGGTGCTAAATTTGTTCGCAGCCGGTCGAGTTAGACAAAATTCATATAATTTTGCTTAACTTTGATGAAATGGAATTGTACGTAAAAATAATAATAGACATTACATTTTATAAAGTGCATCTATTACGATTGCAGAATTTATTCCGTCGATAAGAACTATCAAATTGGTAACGACGTGACTTATTGCGTGTGAGATTAACTTAAAAACATGCATACCTGCAGTGGAGCCTCGTATAGCCCGCATCAATGTGTATAATTATAAATTATTAATTTTATCTCAATTCCGCTTCATATTTTTCACCTAGTCGTAAATGTCGTAGACGTCGTAAAATCGGGTAACCATCGGCGGTCTTTAAAGTTAAAATGTTTTAGAAATTTGCTTCATATTCTCTGATTATAATTATAATACCTTTTATTAACTTCAATGCCAAATTTCAGCACTCGACCATACGACTATTTAGGAATATTCAGAGAAATGTGCCAAGAAACCAGTTTCCATATTTAGCGAAAGGCTGAGTGAGACTCGGATTCTGGAGGGTATATACCACCACCGAGCGTCAGGGTCGTACTAGAATCATGTCTAACTTCGCTTCTCTATTTCTCAGTAGCTATATCTTGTCACGGCTTTTGCCGTATAAGCCACTCCCTCAGAAACTTGGACCCCAAAAATCTCCTGATACCCACATTTTTCCTTCGGACAACAAAAGCTGAAATTATAGCGCTTCTTAAGGGGAAGATTCTGGCATCAGGTTGTAAGAAATAAATGTGCGGGAGCCATGAGTTTTTTTTAATTATTTATTTGTAGGTCAACGTTCGTATTGATAGGATAAGTCAATCTAAATTGCAAGTTATGGTCTAATTCTTATACATATTACCAAATGTACCTTGGCATTCTCAGTTTTCCCAGTTTCTTTATTCAATTTTTGAAGGGGGGGGGGGATGGTTGCATATAATTTATAATAGCTAAACTACATTCAAAGTTCTACCCGAAATTTTGCTTCCCAATTTTTATATTTCATTTGGTGAAATCGATGCAAAGCGGAATGGCACATTCTCCTTAATATAATTCCAGCTTTTAAGTGCATACCAAATTTCAAATCGACCGGTTGAGTAGAAAACAGAAATGAACTTGGAGACAGACGGACAAAACGATTCAATAAGCCCTGACTCGGGCTAAAAATGTGTCAGAGCGAGCACAGCGCTGCATAACTTGCTACGGTATTATTCTATTCATTGACGAACATAAAGCCGTGTAAACTGCAAATTTATATATAAAAACGAGTATTTGCACAAACTCTTCTGGTACCCTGAGATCGCAGTATGCCACTCATTCTTAGGTGATTTTAAGATTACCCTGGTTACGGTGACACTCAATCTTATCTAGTGTACGCTCGAGGGCCTGGCGGCGTCCCTGGCTTTTCGGTGCCCTGGGCAATTGCCCCGCTTGCCCCCCCCCAAAAAAATCGGGGCCTGGCTCGCACTGTTGCAGCAAACGCTCGACTTACATGAAACTCATTTTAATTATGGCTTTAGAAAAGTCTGAGAAATTTTGTATAATCAAAGCTAAATAATTAAAACAATTAGATTTTAAAAAACTGAACTGAACAGTCCGCTGAGGAGGGAATGATGTGTTGCCGTTGGAAAAGCCAAGCAATACAAAGGCCCTTGCCCGCCCATTATTTTTAACTCCACTCAGGGTAATTCAACCCTGAGTGGCATACGTTAAACACGGATCAGATGAAATATCATATATCGTCGTACTAATTCTAAAAAGACAGAAGTGCAGTCGATAGTTAATTTTTAAAAGACCGAAGTGCAGTCGATAGTTAATTTTTAAAAGACCGAAGTGCAGAAAAAAAATTCTAAAAAGACCTAAGTGCAAGCATGTATTTACTTATGGCTATATCTTGCCAAACCGATTCTTCACATATCGCGCGATTTAGCCATAAGTAAATACATGCTTGCACTTAGGTCTTTTTAGAATTTTTTTTCTGTAGTTCGGTATTTTTAAAATTAATCATCGACTGCCCTTCGGTCTTTTTAAAATTAACTTTCGACTGCACTTCGGTCTTTTTAGAATTAGTACGACGATATTTATCATTTATTGCCGTTACCTTATTACGTGTTAGCTACTTAACTCTGTACGATACTAGTTTTACTGCACACAGAGTAATCTAGAATCTAACTGTTTCTGGGTAACGCCGATTTTTAACAGTGTACATTCAATTCGTTGCAATATTTGGGAACAATTTCGTATTGTGTACAAGACCTCATGAAATTATTTCTTTTGTTACAATTTAGGAGAAAATGTATTATGGAAAGTGGTTGTTTATACAATGTGACTTTTATGCAATAAAAATTCTGGAATGTAACCGTTATGGAAAAGCGATTATACAAAGTGACCGAACACGCAAATTTTTACCTATTAATTTTTGTTTTTCTTTAATTAATCTCCTTAATTAATTAAAAAGTTAATAATTGTTATATCCATGACGGAAAATTTAAAAAAACTGCTAAACCTCGATAAAGGATGTAGATTTAAAGGGAATGGACGGATCATAATTTGGCCGGGTCTCTAATTATAGCCGGGTCCGTGACCCTCAGTTTTGGATTTTAGCCCCAGCTATAAATAGAGGTTTTACGGTATGTATTCTGAATCCCCTAACCGAGACCTTATCCGTCAGCAGATATTTAAATTAAGGTTTTTACCGAATTTAAATTTCTCAAGAAACCATGCTAAAAGAGTTTTATTTGCCAAATAATTAGCGCTGCTTTACTATTGGGCAAAGTGAGTTTTATTTGTTATCGACTAAAGTTATCGGCCTGATAAATTTATCCCACTATTGATATGTAAAGAACGTCCGGGAATGAATGGGAATGCGCGCTCTAGCGAGTATATTGACAAATCAATAAACCCGCGAACTATAATAATTTAAATTTCTGAAAGCCCACTTCATTAGGGTCAATTTGGTATATCACTCTTAAATTTCAAAAATGGATAAGGGTAGAAGAAGCTTGTTTGAAAGGGAGCTGTTAGCAAAACGAGTGATGGAGTTCTACAACACGACAGCCAACCGAGACTCCAAGGTGACCTGGAACTTTTTTAAGCAGGAAGGAATTCCAAGTTCAAATGTGTATTCCTACATAAAAAAGTTCAAGGATTCCGAAAATGTGCAATTCAAGAAGCCAGCTGGTCGTCCGGCGAAGCTAGCGACCACTCGAGTGAAAAATAGAATTGAAAAAATTTTCAAAACCAAGCCATCAACGTCAGTAGCTGTGGCTGCCAGGAAAGTCAAAATTTCCAAAAGCTACCTGGGGGAAATTAAGGTCCATAAATTAGGAATCAAAGCAAGGACCAAAAAACCTGCACCAAATTACAAGCCCGTACAAGAAAGTCGGATCAAGGATTGCTGTCAAAAATTGTTGAAGAAAATGCGTGGAAAAGTAGTGATCCTGGATGACGAAACGTATGTTCCGGTTGACCCTTCAAATCTTCCAGGGCGTCATTTTTTTCATAGCTCGGATCCCTCTGAAGTGGCTTATGAAGAAAAAGTACGAAAAAAAGACAAATTTCCAAAGAAATATTGCATTTGGCAATGCATCTCCAGTCACGGACATGTATCAGACCCGGTAGTTCTCGAAGGGAATATCAATCAAGATATTTATCTGAAAAATTGCGTCAAGGCTGGATTGGAAGCATTTATTAATAGGTTTCACAAAAATGATAAAGTTTTGTTTTGGCCTGACCTCGCCACTTGTCACTATGCAAAGAAAGTGACCGAGTACCTCAGAAAGAAAAATATTGATTTCGTACCAAAAGATATCAACCCACCTAATGTACCCCAACTCCGCCCAATCGAAAAATTCTGGGCACGTTCTAAGTCAGTATACTCCCGGCTTCAAGATGTGCCTGACACCTTTCGAAAATTCAAAAGACGATGGAAGAAAATCACCTCGGAAGTGGCAAAAACTTCGGGAAAAAATTTAATGAAAAATCTTCGCAAGAAAATCGAACTAGTCGCCAACGGGGGTGTGGCGGCCTTAGCTATTAATTAAATTATGTAGGTACGTATTTGGTATTATACATATGCAAAAAGTTTAAAATTCCGATAACTCATTGTGATTTTATGACCACATTTTCAGACCATTCCCATTCATTCCCGGACGTTCTTTATGTGCAAAATAAAATGACGGAAGAATGTCAAGTATCAGTTGTGGCCAACTCTTATCATCTAAATATGCACATACATACATATGTATGCATGCATACATATGTATGCCTGGCTATCCTACCGTATATATATTATATTGTTTATTGATTTAATGCAGTAGTGCGGCGTTTTCTTCGTATTAGACAGGACGAAGTATTAAAAATTTGACGTTACATCTACGTCGCAAATTTGTTCAATATTTTTTCTTTAATAATTTGACATGTCGGACGACAGCTATCTTCTAAACTTATGGCTAGAATCAAAACATAAAATATTTCTCGGTTCCGGTACATTTGGCACAGTAGTAAGCTGCCGTAACGAATCTACCCGGGAACTCTTCGCCCTGAAGGCAATGGTTTTCCAGTGCTGCGAAGCAAACAAGGATGCTCACTCTGCTGAAATTAACCATCTCAAAAATATATACTCCACCCTTGCTAAAATGAAGCACAAAAATATCGCAAAAATTGACAAATTTAATCATTGCCGCCTGGCTGGTAAAGAAATTCAAAATTTTTTGCAAGATCTAAAAACGACGGGAAATGGTGACGATAGTGTAAGCAGAATGATACGAAGAATAAAAAGTATTGGAAGTGTATATATGTTGTTTATCCAAATGGAGAGATGTGGCGACACATTGGAACAGTATTTGAGGAATACTGAGAAATATTTGAGGGATGTTCAGAACCCTGAGCCTACTATTGCCAAGCAGGAGGTGACGCTGACTGAGCACAACTACCTAGAGAGAATGAAAGTAGGCATAATTAAAGGATTAATTAACGGAGTGGAATTTCTCCATCAAAACAAGATTATACACAAACGCTTACACCCAAGAAATATATACTTCACACACAACAGGAACACTACTTACTGCCTACCAGTAAAAATTGGTGATGCGGGCATTACCAATCGAAGCTGCGAAATTCACGAAAAACCAATATGTCGTGACTACATGGCGCATGAGACACTTGATGATGTTTACGAATATGGGACGGATATCTTTGCTTTAGGATTGATTATTTGGGAAGTTCTTCAGCAAATTCCTAAAAAAAAGAAAGCCTTCCATTTTGACAAGTTAACAAACGGCAGAGAGCTTAACTTAATTTCCGATGATAATTGCAGCATCCTGCAAAATGCATCCCAGCTGATATGCAATTTGACAGAGAGAAAACCAGAAAACCGTAAAACTACGTTTAGTTTGGACGAAGTTCATTTTACCTCCTCGTTTGCCAGCGACTCAGATGAGTTGCAGCATGTTATAAAGAATCTGCGGAGGGGAGATGTAATACAAATTGGTCCTGGAATCTACCACGGATCAATTCTGATTAACAGGGATGACGTAATTTTACAGGGAATCCCTGGTGAGACATTATTACTACCTAATGCAAAAGATTCAATATGTCTACACGTTCAGTCTTCTAGATGCATGATAAGCGGGATATCAATCTATCATAAGAATCAGGTCGGGGTGGGTATCTTAGTGGTGGGAAGTAAAAATTGTTTGCAGAACGTGAAAGTGACTAAGTTTGGTCAGGGTGTAGTTATAAACGGAGAGTCTAACAATTTAATAAAATTTGAGGTAAATCAATGTCACAAGGGAATTTTGATAAATGGGAATGATAACAACATTTTCAAAAGCTTTCTTGTCGAAAGCGGACTTGTTGCAATGGAACTGATCGGTTCAAAGTGCAAAGTTGAAGAATTAGTAGTGGATAAAGCTGACAGGGGCATCGTCATTCACGGAGGACACAATATAGTTTCTCAAATTACCCATAATCACTACGGGACGTATAGAGCTAACAGTTTCTGCGTATGTGTCATCGGCGGAGAAGATAACGAATTAACTAGTGTGATGTGTGAAGACGGTAGAGTGAAGATATTTAATAACGGACAACGTACCAAGATTCATGGGGCAACCTGCGATATCCTGAATTTGAATGATACACGTATCATGACGAAATGCAATATTACAAAACTACCTCCTATACAGGCCAATGTGGATAAAGCTAAAATAATTTGCTCAACTTGCAAGAATTTTTATCTACCAAGATCTGAGATCTCTGGATTGAGTACTGACATACTAAATAAGGAGATATCTAACCCTCTAAAACACCAAATTATTAACGTGCTATATAAGGTTAGGTTAACGTAGTCATTTCAAACTTTCAAATATAATTGATGCAATTTTAGTCATTAGTTTTGCTCGATCATATTCGTTATTTTTATATCTTTGATCGATATATCCTCATTTCCAGGACGCTTACATCCTAAGGAATTTTGCAAGATATGCTGCCAGTTGGGGTTTACCAGAAGAAGTTCTGGACCAAATGGATCATTTATATAATAACCACCGTAACAAAAGAGAAGAGGGCTATATACTTATCAGAGAGATAATGAATGAATGGACTGGAAGAAGGAAGCGATCTGTTCAAGATATCCTTACAATTCTGAAACCCGATTTTGAAATTGCCCATGGTACATAATTTAACAAATTAAAATAACTTAAGTCCTTGGCCACGTTAGAAACTAAAAGTCTTTTAAAATGTGTTGCCCCAGATAACGTATACAAACTGGTTGAAGAATGGACTTTCCTGTCGGAGTGATTAACGATATCGTCGTGAAGAAGTAGAGGAGTTATTTATATATGTATATTTCTAACATATGTATAATTTAATTAACGTGAAAATTTATGCATAGTACGATTATTACAACTGTTAAGCTTTTTAGAGACGTATTTGTGTATCTGATACCTCAGAGCAAAAAGTAAACTCATAAACGAAAGTACGTTCGAAATGAATTTTATGTAAAGGGACTGCCAATGCATTTGCATAAGTATCGAAACAAATTGCATGTAAAAAGAAGACTTATTTGAGTATGAACAAAGAGAACTGGTAGTTGTGTAGACATATGGTGATCGTACATACAGTATATAACTTATGCATCATGTTGCATATTGTTTTTGTCTCATTTTGTACCTTTTATCTTTAACCCGACGTCATTCGTTACGTCAACAAAACCAAATGGCAAACCCAATACGTTTGTCAAAATCTGACGACTGGTGGCGGATAGATAAATCATTCCGTTCGGACAACAACCCAATAAATTTGATCCAACGGGTGGCAAACATACGGAGATTAGATTGTTGATGGACTGGTACAAATTCCACTACTCACCTCGCCCCGACTCACCGTCTCCACTGGAAAAGATAATGTCAGAGATTGCGTTATTTGGAGTAAGTTGAATTAATTACGCTGTTATGTTCTCACTTACGAATGAGCTGGCCAATGTGGCCCACACGGGTCATGCAGATGTATCGCTATATACATTAACTTGTATTTTTTTAATGGTGAAAATTAATCAAGGTTGTTTAGAATCATTGGACGATTTAGAAATATATTCAAAAGGTTGTGTTTTATACGTGTGTACAACAGAATTTATAATTTGTCTATTCATTCATCACCATCCTCCAATCGGATTTGCACACGATGCGAAAACAATAATTGGCCAGCCATGCTTACCAGCGACATCCTGCAGAACGTTTCGGAAATCAATCACCTTATCACATCATCATTATCATCTGTCAGAATAAATTTGTAATTTGAACAAAATAAGTCATTGGAGAAATCATGGGTAAGTCAGAACGATAAGAGGAAATACATAGATATGTTAATTAATTAATTAAAATAAGCTAAGTAATTAATTAAAATCCTTTCCAAAGGAACACCTAATCTGAATAGGACCCCTTTCCAAATCGCTAAAACTTTGCAAAACGACTACATGGTATTACATCATTGGAAAACAATCGGCTACGAACTTGGAGTTGGTGAGGAAGTTATGATGAATCTAGACGATTGGAAATACACCGGCAAAATGAAAATGGTCGATATTCTTAAAGCTATATTCGAAATAGCAAAGAATGACGGAGAAGAAGATTATGTGAAAAGAATAAAAAATGCATTGAAAGAAACTGGTTGTCAAAGTGCACTTGGTATGTTTTCCATACATATGTAGATATGTACATAAGTATAAAGTATGAGACGTGTGTACAAATTTTTAAATTAGTATTATTATTCTTTTTTTTAGATTTGATAAAAAATTTGAGATAAACGAAGAAACCGTTCCGCCTCCGACAAATAGCGTCAACAACTCGTAAGATACATACATATGGATGTACAAATAATTACCAACTCATGTACATTTGTATGTATTGAAATTGGAGCACGCACAATTATGATTGAGATATAAATAAAATTGATTCTATTTAAAAGTCTAAATTCGTCAGGCTAGAAAAACATGCATAGTTTAAAAGTTTGGAGTTTCACTATATGAATATCTATCTACATATGCACATAAGCTGCGACGTACAAATATGTACATGCACCAGTTCAGACTAAAGTATTAAAATTATATAAATTTAAAATATCTTGACGTTATTTCATCATTTGAAATTATTTTTTACACAGGCATACGCACATTATTTATAATTCAAAACCTTTCTTTTGGGTTTTAAAGATTCATCAATCCTGAATCCGTATTTATATGAATTTTTGGATTCGACTTCGACCAAATCTTGTCACCACGTTCGTCACTTTGTTTGACGATTTTCAATTTTGGCCATACATAAGAAAAATAAAGTGTTTTCATGTTGCTGTGCTTGCCACCACTTTAAATTTGGATAAACTTGACCTCCCAATTTGTGCTGCCATGTAGGCCTGCCAGTAAGATACGCATTGCTGGCATTTGTGGGCGGTGAAGGGTGAAGCCATGGCTTAAGAGAGAATATGCATAACCTAAACTTGCGAGTGGAGAGAGGATTTAACTTCACTTACATATAATGACGTCGAAGAAATCAAAATGCAACCCGAATTAAAAAAAGTCTTGTATTAATCATGTTTAGAAACGGAAAGAGCAAGTATGCATGAATTTATTAACATGCATGATAACGTAAGAGGAAGTTGAGACTTTTGCATGAAAAAGCCAGACAGGATAGGCAATCATAACGTACTTATATATGAATGTGCATTGCTTTGGGACCGTGCAAAAAGCAAGCATGTGATCCACTTGAGGGGGTAAGGGTCAAGGCATCCGATGCTAATTATAACATGAAGAATACAGGTCACACCTGGAGGTGTGGCTCAAAATTTTCAGAAAATCGGTCGCATGCTTTATGCATGGTTCCTTTATATGTTGTTTATGATGGGCGAGGTAAGAACGATCTGTACCGTTCATTGCTGCATCAAATAAACGCACACGGCCTCTTCCTTACCTCACAAAATAATGACATGCCAGGTAGATACACACATTCATTTGTACCCCAAGCAGCCTTGTTCACGTCCACTCATATTAGAGTAACAATAATTCGATTTAGCATGTTACTATACTCTGTGTGCGATGATTAAGATAAATTTTTTGGAGGGGCAATTTCCCTGGGGGGCGTTATGGACTTATAACATGGTACAGGTTACACTAGCTTTAACTAACTTTAAATAGTTAACAGTATACTCATCGTTAGTATTCCATAAAAGTTTCGTTCAATTTGATTCGTCCATTCATTTTTTGCAGGTCATAATAGCTTGACACTTACAATTTGCGGACACTCCATATTTGTGGTTATTACTGTGCGAACGTAACGGTTCACCATCGAGCTAACAAATTTACGGTCGGTCTAATCTTACGAGAAACCGAACGAAAATTTGTTTAAACTTTGGTATTACGAGCGAACCGTCATATCATCATCCAAATATGTATTCATCTATCTTTAAAGTGATAAGCAGAATTTAGCAAATCTGCGCATTTTTCACAGCCATTTTCATCACATGGTCAATGACTCGTTTCACATTTTTCGCCTAATAAAATAATACATTCATTTATCATGGGAGGATATTGGTTGGGACTTGGGAGACCATTACCTAGTAAGGGAGGCTAATTTCCTCAGGAGGCTATTGGTCGGAGGCCATTACTCGGAGGCGATTGGGGGAGGCTATTGGTTGGAGGATATTTTCCGCAATTCATTTCTGCATACATCTCTCCCATTGCTCTTCCATTGCAATTTTCATAAGTTCTCCTCCACATTTTAATACGTTTAACAACCTACATACATACTCATTTAATGAGTAACAATAATTCGATTCAGCATCGAGATCCACCACTAATTTTAGAATTCGAAATCAAGTATTTTAGCATGTTACTATACTCTGTGTGCGATGATTAAGATAAATTTTTTGGAGGGGCAATTACCCTGGGGGGCGTTATGGACTTATAACATGGTGAATATTGGGGAGCCGATTTCTCTGGAATGGGTGAATGGAATTGCAAGTTCTTTTTTTTTGTTGGATTCTATATTTAAATAGCTCGGACCCATTTTTGTATTTTCCCGAAATTCGTATTTTGAAATTTCGAAAACCAACATCAAAATTTTGATTTTTCTGTTTTCATCAGATTAAGTTTCTTTAGCACTAAATATGAATGCAGTCTTGTATAATGGCAATAAATACAGTTAGCAGGACTATATTCTTAAATTTTATGAAATTTTGAACTTAGCTATAATTTCCGTATACGCATTTTTTGAATTATATTTCTATAAATTATATTATAGTTCGTCTAAATCATCTCGCTTTGCTCTTTGGATAATTTGTTACCCCGTAAAATGGTGATGGGGTTCGTAAGGGCTGTTGATTCGGGATTTTAATACAATACGGCAAACTTGCAATTGCAAAATCCAAGAAATTCCACTTGCAGTAATACGACAATATAACAATTTGCGACAATACTTCCATCGACTGAATCAATAGACAAAAAACATTCGAAGACAATACACGAGCTCAAAGACATTGAGAAGGAACTCATGACCAGTATTACTCGAGCCATGTCACTAGAGGGAAGTCGGTCAGTTCGGATTTATTTCAAAATTTCATCACATTTAAGAATTTCAGCAATAATATGGTATCAAGCAATGGGCTCAGAATAGATCACCTGGTCTATTGGTCTAACTTCCTTAATTGTAAGATCTCAAAGTTGACGTTGCCAATACCGTACTAGTGTGGGAAATCGCTTGGGCCCACGGGATACCAGTATACTTTTGTCATCACAGGACACTGCAGTTTGAATGGGCATCTGAATAAGGTAAGCCTAGTTTAATCTCCCACCAGCGGGGAGGAGAATGAGTCAGTGGCTCATACTTACAGATTGTAAAGCCTACAGCGCCCTGAGATTTAAAATCTTCATTTGTTCTACCTTAAGGACGGAGGAAGTAAGGGAGTATCCTATCCTCTCAAAAAAGTTCTGGGCTTTCTGAGGTCTGGCAGAGTCGCCAGCTCTGTAGCTGGCGAATCGAGAGAGGCTCTAACACAATAATCGCATTCGAGTGCATTGAGGTGTCTGCAATAAGTCCAAATGGTGACATGAGCGGCTGGACTGCTGCGCCTATAGGCAGGAATCCTCCTCATATAATACATACATACAATGAAAGTAGTTAGCAAAATACCCATGTTTTTGGAGGGGGCCTCTATTGATTCAGTCGACTGAATTATTGTCGCAAAAATGCGTATACGGCAATTATAGCTAAGTTCAAAATTTCATAAAATTTAAGAATATAGTCCTGCTAACTGTATTTATTGCCATTATACAAGACTGCATTCATATTTAGTGCTAAAGAAACTTAATCTGATGAAAACAGAAAAATCAAAATTTTGATGTTGGTTTTCGAAATTTCAAAATACGAATTTCGGGAAAATACAAAAATGGGTCCGAGCTATTTAAATATAGAATCCAACAAAAAAAAAGAACTTGCAATTCCATTCACCCATTCCAGAGAAATCGGCTCCCCAATATTCACCATGTTATAAGTCCATAACGCCCCCCAGGGTAATTGCCCCTCCAAAAAATTTATCTTAATCATCGCACACAGAGTATAGTAACATGCTAAAATACTTGATTTCGAATTCTAAAATTAGTGGTGGATCTCGATGCTGAATCGAATTATTGTTACTCATTAAATGAGTATGTATGTAGGTTGTTAAACGTATTAAAATGTGGAGGAGAACTTATGAAAATTGCAATGGAAGAGCAATGGGAGAGATGTATGCAGAAATGAATTGCGGAAAATATCCTCCAACCAATAGCCTCCCCCAATCGCCTCCGAGTAATGGCCTCCGACCAATAGCCTCCTGAGGAAATTAGCCTCCCTTACTAGGTAATGGTCTCCCAAGTCCCAACCAATATCCTCCCATGATAAATGAATGTATTATTTTATTAGGCGAAAAATGTGAAACGAGTCATTGACCATGTGATGAAAATGGCTGTGAAAAATGCGCAGATTTGCTAAATTCTGCTTATCACTTTAAAGATAGATGAATACATATTTGGATGATGATATGACGGTTCGCTCGTAATACCAAAGTTTAAACAAATTTTCGTTCGGTTTCTCGTAAGATTAGACCGACCGTAAATTTGTTAGCTCGATGGTGAACCGTTACGTTCGCACAGTAATAACCACAAATATGGAGTGTCCGCAAATTGTAAGTGTCAAGCTATTATGACCTGCAAAAAATGAATGGACGAATCAAATTGAACGAAACTTTTATGGAATACTAACGATGAGTATACTGTTAACTATTTAAAGTTAGTTAAAGCTAGTGTAACCTGTACCACTTATGCTGATCACACCAATGACACGGGTCTCAATCCTACCCATTCAGAGAGAAATCTATTCCCGATGCCATCTGGCAGTAGCCGGAAGATTTCTCTCGCAATGAGGCAGTCTTGCCTGGATCTCATCTTTTCTCTTCCTCCTTTTTTTCTTTCCTTCAAAGAAGACATTCAGTCTAATATCTCTCTCTGAGCAACATTATTGAAATATTGAAGAAGAAGAGACCTAAATCTTAAATTTAGGTCTCTTCTTCTTCAATATTTCAATAATTCATATTCAAGCTTTAAATAAATAATTGTTATTTAAATAGCATCCTTTGTGTTGCCATCATAATCATTTGACCGTTCCTCACCAAAAAGACTTTGTATCTTCCCCCGGAAGTTAGAATTAGGTCGTGAAACGGACATGTGTACATATAAGAGGGATTCAATATCGCCTTTTCAACCTCATCCCTCTCACAATATAACATAGCTATCTCGTTACACTAGCTATAAGTAAGCAATTTAAAAAACAATGCATTCATTTATCATGAGAAGATTTTGGGTGGGAGGCGATTCGCGTAGGACTCCCACGGTGGGAGGATATTAGTCGGGAGGCCATTGGTTAAGCGAGGCTAATTTCCTGAGGAGGCTATTGGTGGGAGGCCATCGTCCGTAAGCCGTACTAACTGCGGTGCTCCCTCTTCATACAGTATCGAAATATTTATATATATCTGCTTTTTTCACGTACAATCGTCACCACGTGGTGTGCATGTATGACTACACCAAATGGTGGTAATACTTTTCACGGCATGGTGATACATAAACCTTGCCCGCATAGTGACAAATTGTCACTGGCTGGTGTTATTTTTTTATCACCATTAGGAGAGGCGTATTATCATTGCTCGGGTAAATTACACATGCACATGCTCAGATCTGAAAAAAATCCAAAAGCCAGGCTTGTCCTGCATCAGCATATATCAGGATTCCAAATAAGAATTACTCGTAATACTAACAAGTCCTTGATTTTATTGCAGTTGTCATTTAACTTCCTCTTGCGAAATGTAATAATTCAGTTAACTCCATCACCATTAAAAATAACGGTAAAAATCATCATTTTCTCACGAACATAACATACATACTTACATATCCATACCATCTCTACAATGGCGACGGCAGGTTAAATAATTCAGTTCTGACAAGACTTAATACATTTTGTCTAACGGTTATCAACCATGCAGAGAGATAAGATAGTTGACGGAGTGGCCAAATTCCGCAACTAATCCTCGTCTCGTCGCTGGAAAAGATTGCGTCAGTTTGAGTTTGAGTGCGTCGTATTTTTATTACAAACGCTGCTGTATGTATGTATATGCTAATTTAAGAATGAGCTGACCAATATGATCCACCATTTCCTCGGGAGGATCATGCATTTGACCCGCCACATTGATATGTACATTTTTAAATTTCTGAAAATAAACATATTTTCATATGTATTTGGAAATTGAAAAGCATGGTCAGTGCGTATATCCACGCAAACCAATTTATAATTTCATCACTTTCCTCCAAGCGGATTTGCACACTATGCGAAACCAAACACTGGCTAGCCAGGGTTATCAGCGACATCCAGCATAACGTTTGGGAACACACTCAACATTACCTCCATCATCCTCACCTCCATCACATCTTTAAGAATAAAATTATAATCTCGACAGTGCAAAATTAGTTCTTGGATAAATCATGAGTAAGTTACATAATTATTTCTGTTAAAATTAGAGCAAATTCTTAATTAGAGTGTCGACCATCTCAAAACAAGAAATTAAAATGAAGTAATTCATTTTAATTTTGAAATCCTTTACATTTAAATAAATACTTTATTTAGATCCTACTCCGTATAAAATCGCTAAAATTTTGCACGACGATTACATTGTATTAAAAAAATGGAAACAAATTGGCTATGAACTTGAAGTTGAAGAAGAAATTATGACCAATGTAGAAGAGTGGAAATATACCGGCAAAATGAAAATGGTCGATATTCTAACAGTTATGTTCGTAGAAGCAATGAATGTAAATGAAAATTATGTGGAAAGCATACGGAAAGCCTTGAACGAAACCAAATGCATGCTGGCACTTGGTAAGTTAATATGAAGCGTGAAACATATTTAGAAATTTGTCAAATTTCCATACTTTACTCGATTATCACTAGGTAAGCTTGACAAAAACTTGAAGACGGAAGAGAAAAAAGCCCCGCCTCCTACAAATTCCGTCACGTAAGACATGACCGTATAAATAAATACGTTTATACCCATGAAAATTCTGGCAAGCGGAATTTTGACGGATTAAAATATCTATAAAATTTCCCAAATTTCATAAACTATAGCTTAAGAAGGCTAGAGTTTCACAGAATTAGTGGATAAATATGATACATAACATTTACATGACCTCCAGGCCAACCCAGCTTCCTGATGAGGTCGATGGGGACGATGACGATGTGATTGACTTGACTGATGAGTATAATCCTTTACAAATCCAAGTAAAACTGGGTGCAGCGTATGGCAGCGTGGAAGAGGGGGTGAGTTGTAAAACATTTTTACTCGGAAATTTTGTAATTTATTAGTGTGGACTACAACATATGAAATTAGTGACACTACGTCAGGCTTACGGATGGTAGTTTCCCACCAATAGCCTCCTGATGAAATTAGCCTGCATTACTAATGGCCTCCCAACCAATCTCCTCTCGCTCAATATCCTCCCAGACTAATCGCCACCCACCCAAAATCCTCCCATAATAAATGCATGCATTGGTTTTTTAATAGTTAATTTGCCCAATTAGGAAAATTAACTATTAAAAAACCAATGCATGCATTTATTATGGGAGGATTTTGGGTGGGAGGCGATTAGTCCGGGAGGCTAATTTCCTTAGGAGGCTATTGGAAGGAGGCCAGTACTTGGAGGCTATTGGTGGGAGGCGATTTTCCGCAATTCACTACGTCAGATTATTATTGACACGTGTTTCCACCTAGCTTGTCTCGATTGGGGTAAGGAGAAGTGTCTAGTATTGACTAGGTTCGGATAAACATGACGTCCATCAGCGTGTTTTCTCACATTTTTCATATCGCCCCAAATGCTGAAAAATTCATTTTGGGACTCGACCTGTTTGACCTTTTTCCGTGGGTCGGAAATAAATATTTTGCCATAAAGTCTCACGAAGCCCCATAATTGGGGTATTGTTAGACAGGTCTTGGCGTAAGGAATACGAATATATACTTTATAGGGTCTATGACTGCTCCCCGATATTCTAAGAATATCACATTAGTAAGAATTTTTCCTCAAAATCAGATTCAAGCAGTTCGCTAGTGTATCATGTGACCATGCATCTAAAAGTCAAATAGCATCGCGATGTTATTGTTATAAAAGTAAATTAAATAGTGGCCAACCTACAAATTTGTTCACGTTTCTTTACGCCAAATTTCCAATAGTCCTTCCACAATCGAAACAAATTGGGTGGAAAAATGGGCTTATTATAATTTTATCGACTGTACAAATGAAACAATACTCACATATTGAGGATAAAAGATAATATTACTTATATTCATTCGTATTAGTCCTGTATGCTCACCTCCCAACCGAGAGGGTACGTACTGATGGTGAATAATATCAAGTTCAATGATCCCGCCAGATTTCGCTATAGAATAGGAGCCCTGTACGACTCGTCTTACGTGGAAAAACTCTTCCCCGAGTTAAAATTTAAATTGGACATTCACGAAAATGTTGCAAGCAAAGAGGTAAATTACACACAAAATTATCACTCTACCAATTCTCACTCCCAGCCTTTGCTCTCCGGTTTCAATCAAATTAGTGTCATTTGATTACAAATTCAAGAAATATGAAACTTTCAAATAAATTTGTAGAGGACAAAGTGAACAAGCTTTACATTTTCCATATTTACTGCGCCTTTTCACCTCTTCGCATGAAAATATTTCTGTCAAACGTGACCAATGATTAAATCAATTTGTAATCGATTTAACACTAATTTGGTTAAAATTGGAGAGAAGACGCTGAGAGAGCTCAATCATGAATCAAACATAACAACCCATTTACACATAATTTGTAGGCCTTGGACAAAATAATTGATCACTTTCGACAGAAGTGTATCGATGAAAATGCGAAAACATGCATCGTAATAATTTGCAGTCACGGGGGGAAAGACGTCATCTATTCGTGTAACGGGGACCCATCCAATATTTATGAAGATATCGTGTACAAATTTAAAAACGCTTTGGACCCTGAGAAAGATAAGAACCTTGGGTTGAAGGACGTTCCCAAAATATTTATTCTGAACGCTTGTCGAGGCAGGAGTTATTGGGAGGATGACTCCGTCCGAGGAGAGGAGAAAAGGCCAGTAATGATTTCATACCAGTTTCCCAGCTGTGTACAGGAAGGTTTAGATGTCAGGTTATAATGGCAAATTTTTTCAATGGGAAAAATTCGTAAATTTCCATTAGCTACGGATTTGGGATTGAGATTTTTAATAACACTTATGGAACACTGATGACAAATTCGTAAAATATTAAACTTCAGAGGAAAAATTTCTGTAACTAATGGAGATTTGCGGATTTTTTCCATTGAAAAATCTTCAATTGTAATCTGACATTCAAACCATCCTGTATGAAGTGACTCCAGAAAAATATAACCATTATATTCTAAATTCATTGCAGGTACAAAAGATTGAAATGCCAACGATGAAGAATAAAAGAAATGTTACGCAAGTGTGTACCTGGTCCCCATTTCTGTTTCCGCGTGTTTACTTCAATCCGGACTTCTGAATCTGGAGATATCTACGTGAAGATTATCCTTCGCAAGGGCTTACGTTATGTATTCATCTTGAAGATGTAATTTTTCAACATGGTTGACGAATTTGTAAATACATAAATCAAATTTTTCATTCGTGCTAATAAATACATTTTAATCTTATGTGATGTGTTTTTATTGTTTTGTTCTACATCAATTATTTGCACATATTTAAAAATACATTAACATATGCAAACGAAGAAAATTTGCAAATTCATATAGTATTATTTTTATGATTTAACATACTCATAAAATCTTCATTTTCGCCAAATGTGACATTTTTTTCGCCAATAGGTACTTGAAAACCGTTGTTCTAAAGATTAGGTGGCATTTTTTTCCGCCAAACGGGATTTTTTTTGGCGAAATTTTTTCGCCAAAAGGGTTTTGGCTAAACTGTCCGACTTCCTTATTTGCATAGCGGATGAAATGGGAGATCATAATGCGGAAAACTTATTAAATAAATATGCTTGCACATAATTTAAGTGTTATGTGATTATTAATTTGTGGCCTGATTTTTTGATATAAGTTAAACAAATGTTTCTTTTTTAATGGTCGGAAGAATCATTTCGATCTTCACATTTTACATTGAGAGTATTTATTATTTCTTCGAATCCCTACGGGATTTTGTAAGCGGAGTAAAATTTGGCGACAATTTCTCACTTTACAAACTGTCAGGACTATATGCAAATGTTACCAAGGACTGCGTAAATTACTTTAGGGAACGTCCATATATTACGTCGTTACAACTCGATTGCAGATTTCATGATTGCAAAGAATTATTAATTTTCTTTCGAACAAAATATTATTTTCTTGGGCGCAATAAATTTGACCCATAAAGGATTATGTTGCAAGAAGGGAGCAGGCCTTAAATCTGGAGGTGCCATGGCCGCCAAAAGCATGCCCCCCGAAAAATCAGAAAACCGATTATCGTAAGATAAATTGATGTGGACACAGCAATTGAAAATTGTTGAAACAAAAATCAACTCGCAAAGAAGTATACGGTCCATGTGCGTACACTGAAGTGAATTAATCCTCAAGATATGTACTACGTCGGCGAGAATCAGTAGATATGTGCTGTTGATGAAACTTTTTCTCCGACGCCGGTTGAATCACCACCCAGTACGCAGCCAATTTTTCTTTAATATTCGGAATTTGAGCTATTTTACATAAATCCAAACTAGTTACGTCCGATTATATGTCTTCAGTGCATTGTTTTTGATTTCCACCTTCAGATCCACACTATTTGTAAATTGCCATCAAAATTTTTCGATGCGTTGTGCAAACTTTCAGATGAAAAGCAGTTCGAAGAAACTCTGCTGTCGGCTTTAAAATAATCGCTTCTTAGAAATTAGAACTTCATTCCTCATCAGAAATAGATGAGGATCACGATGAAAATACGTAAAATATTCTGCGACACGTATTTCACCTAGAAAATTAAAGTTAGTGACTCGGACTATAAAATGGAAATACCCTCAGTATACCCGTCAGAAGTATTATGCAGAATCGTTCATACTTTTTCTGCACAAACCATTGTTCCGGCCACCTGTGTAGAATTATGTCAAATTCGACAAAAGATTTTCGCACGGGTAGTGCCAATCGACTACAAATAGTATGAAATATGCAAATGGAACTGTCTGCCAATGTGCAGGGTTGGTGGAGATATTTTCGTAAAAAGACGAGAAAACGCATCCCAAAAGGGCTAGCAAATTTTTCATATTTCAAATTTGCTGCCCATTTTTCCCGCTTTTTATCTATGTAAATATCTTCGCTAAACCTGCGCATTGGAAGATACATAGTTCCATTTGCGAATTTCATACTAATTATACTTGTAATCGATTGAGGCTAGTTTGGTCCAAATCTGTGTGCTTACGTTGGGAGATCTCCATTGTTAGTACTCGGGGATCGCGAGAATTTGGCCAAATACTTACTTATTTATGCCTTGCGTAAAATGTAGATGTTATAAATTATCATGCATTTAAAAAAACAATTCACATCGAAAAAAAATTCAAGACTCAGACAACAGTTTAATTAACACTCTAAAATTTGCACACAAACATGAAACCTGATTAAAGAAATTTTGACACAATTTTAGTTCTAACAAATTCGTACTACTCTTGCGAAGAATAAAAATACTAATAATAGTGATAATAATTATTATTAACACGACATTAAATTGCAAGTAATTAAATCATACAAACCCAGATGTCGGTATTTACGAGTCTCCCAATCTCATTGCGGCCTGCACGAACTTTCCAGTTCTGTAGAATGAAATGCCTCGTGATGACGCCGGAGACTGGTTTCCGACCAAAGCTTTTGGCCACAAAATTCGCATTCTAATTCGCTTCCTACATCCTGGTTTAAATCGGTTTTCGCCTTGGTCTTCTTCCCGTCACAGGGCAAACACGTGTTCACGGGGTTACTCGTCGGCTCCAGGTGACGTTCCAAATTTTGCGGTGTCGCGTGTCCCGAGTCACAGACGGTAGAGGGGAAATTCCTCTGAAATTGGTTTCTTAAGCTTGTTAATCACTGTTTAATCTCGGTACTTTATACAAAATCAATTGGGAACCACAAAATAACCAAGCACTACTGTTGGACAGAACCAATTTTGTTTCTGCGAAACGAGTGAAAACCACCATTATAAAAATACTAATTATGCGAAATGGTTAGTATGCATAATTTGAAATTGGACAAATTCCCTTAATGGACATGTGTATATATTTATGTATACACGATACGTTCTTATTTTTCTATTAAATTGCTCCTTCTCTCGGGTTCCTTGAAGCTTACTACAAAATGTACCAAATGGGAGTGTTTCTTCAAATTTAGTACGAAATACTACACAAGTTTATGATTCTGGTTTTTCCTAGATTTTTCAAATGAAAAATCCGTCCTGAGTAGCAGGCTTTAACGGAAATGCCGAACTACTGCGAAAATTTTCAAGATATGCTACAATTAAAATATTTGAGATCCATTTCTTACAATAAATAAATCAGTTTAGCAATTTAGTCAGTAACGCATACCCTGTAAGAAGTATCATTTACTATTTTTTTGTCAACTTACATGGACCTGCGTGGATTTTAACTCTGTCAGAATTTCTTCCATTCTGGCGATGCAGTCAATAAGAACGGCACGATCGGAGATGTCTCGAGGTTCAGCTGAAATTCAGAAAAGCCAGCGTTTTGCATAAAATATTTGCTATAAATTTATGATAAAATACCAAATTTATGCATGTACACTGATGACTGACTACATTTTGTTCAATATACATACATAAATCTACATCTATCTACATTTATCTGTATTGATTTGTGATATGTTAAATAGATACAAAAGTAGATATGAAAATATCAGCATCTGATTTCTTGCACCTTATCTACCTACATTTCTTGCACTGAACAAAATTAAATGTGCTGAAAATACAAGGACTACCAGTCATTTGTCTCGTCTATTACCCCGCACTACTAAAATTTTCTACTGGGGTGCGCTTATTTATTTTCATTCGCGCAAACATAACCTTGGGATCAGGCCCCGATTTTGGGGGGGCAACCGGGGCAATTGCCCAGGGCGCCGAAAAGACAGGGGCGCCGTAAGGCGCCCGAGCGTACACTAGATAAGATTGAGTGTCACCGTCCCCACTCTAATCTTAAAATTACATAAGAATGAGTGGCATACTATGATCCCAGCGCCCCAGAAGAGTTTATCAAAAGACTCGTTTTTAGGTATAACTTTGCATTTTCCACGCCTTTATGTTTGTCAATGAATCATACCGTAGCAAGTTACATTGTGCTCGCTCTGGCACATTTATAGCCCTGGTCAGGGCTTATAGAATCGTTTTGTCCATCTGTCGTCTGTCTCCAAGTTTATTTCTGTTCTACTCATCCGATCGACTTGAAATTTGGTATACACTTAAAAATGTCAATAGAGGCATATTATGCGAAATGTGCCATTCCGCGTTGCATCGATTTCACCAAATGAAATATACAAATTGGGAAGCAAACCGTTGGCTCCTATTTTTATTACAGTTTAGCTATTTTAAATTATATTCAACCAACTCTCCTTCAAAAATTGAGGAAAGAAACTGGGAAAAATGAGAAAGCCAATGTACATTGGAATTTGACCATAACTTGCATTTGACATTTGATTTGCCCTATGAATATGAACGTTCTCATCAGTGGCGGATAGAGCCAACTCGGGGCCCCTAGGTGGGATTTTTTTGTGATATTTAACGGTATTTAAAATTCTTAACTAGTGTATCAAACAATCGAGTTACAACAACAGTTGACAACGATTGCCGTTCATTTAGTAACGATATATCGTGCGGCGGCCTTATGGGAGGAAATGGAATCAATTCCACGATGAATTTTTCTAAAATGTTTCTGCATATTTGCTGGTTTGAGGGCTCACGCACAACATTTCAAAAAATTTGGGGTCGCCACACCCCCTGGGGGAGGAGTTGACCCCACTGAGGGGGATGTGGCTTTTAAAGTTGGTCGAATCGACAGATCTTCGTATCCTGATAAAAATTAATATATCATTTACCTATCTACTGCACTCCAGTGCAAAGTTATAGTCGTTCAAACATCGAAATTTTGAGTTCTGCGCCGACTTTGCGACCATGTCGCGCACAACGCGACCCACATTGGGGGTAGTAGGATGTGGTATCCCAAGTAGTTCATGCTATAGTATCATCCTCAAAAAGAAAATTGACCGGGTCTCGTCTAGTTTAGGTACAGGAATTTTTTGAAAATCGTGAAAAATATAGCCGAAATAGGCTCGATCTGCACACTAAATAATATTTTAGAAAAATTCATCGTGGAATTGATTCCATTTCATCCCATAAGGCCGCCGCAGTGTGCGGTATGATGCCGCGTACTTAGAAGTTCTAAACTCCGCACGCATTTGTATAAACTCAGCCGAATAATTCCGTGTCGCCGATTTTTAAGGTACCGAAATTCAAATGTCGGAATTTTTAGCAATTCGAAATGAGAGCCAAAAAATAAAACTCCTTGGATATTTTTTTAACTTTCTAATATATTTTACTGGAAACTGCAAGGTCTTACGAAGAGAATAAGCTATCGTACGACCGTGTACGATGTTTTTGACGCCCACAGAAATGTTTCGCCAAAAACGTTTTTGATGCCTAAAATCGGGACCGAGGCGAAATTACAATAAGAAAATATACTGAAATATACAAAAGCATAGGTACATGCAGTTTCTACATACATAGTAGGACCATAAGTTCCCGCACAAGCATTTCTTGTGATAAATCACAAAGTATTAGAGCTATTGGCTAAAAATTTTTATGAATGAACAAGGCACTAATATTGTTTGGAAATCATAACTTCTTTTTCAAAATTTCCTCCACGGGCTTCTACACAAGACAAAAGTCGTGGCGGAAACTGCTCCATCGCGGCACGCACGGTTTTCATGAGAAAAGACCAGATCTTCTTTTGGTTTGACATCAGGCTTTCCACATTTATGTGCGATTTAGAACATAGTTGTATCTATAATTTTCACCACCAGTCATAATTTAGGAGATTGAGGTCTGCAGATGCTGAGGACCGTTCTTGGGAACAATAAAAGTCAAAATCCGTCTGAAGCCAGTTTAGGACAATTTTGTCACCATACGCAGGAGCAGAATCTTGTTGAAAGTTCCAATGTTGGTTTTCAGGGACTTCATGGTTCAGGTTTTTAATTATTTGCTGTATAACACTCTGAAAATAATTTTTGCCTCGAACTTTTACTATGTGCGGTAAAAATCAGAGATTTGGTTTCTCCAAGCAAGTTGCTCCCATTCACGCCATGACAATGACTTCTTATTGACTTCTGCACACCTAAGTGGATGCCAAACTTCCGTGGAGCAAATACCTGGTCATTTTTTAACTTTCTCCAATGGGGAAAAGTGTAGAACACTTTTCTCATGAAAACGACGCCTACCACGATAGAGCAATGCCCGCCACAAGTTATGTTTTGCGTGCAAGCCGGTGGACGAAATCTTGAAAAGGGGGTTACGATTTATAAACAATATTAGTGCCTTGTTCATCTATAAAAATTTCTAGCCAATAGCCGAATAATTAAGTGTTGCTTTAAGGTACGTTACCTAGATGAAGTGAAATTTTGCGTTTTCAGGAACAATGGGTCCAGGTTGACTAGGTGATGGCCAGGAAATTAAGCAAAAAATTAATTCTTACATAACACTGTGAAAAATCAACAAGACGATGAATTTGCTCAGCTTGTTTTTGTTTATCATTACTAATACCCATTCTTAATTTTTGATGCCCCTATATTATTTTGAGTTTAATGACCTAAATTTGTGTAGATGGTCCAGCCCAACTTATCTAAAGCAAAAACACAAGTCCACATCCATTTTCGTACAAAAAATTGAAACCAATCAGTACAAGATAGTCAGTTTTGAATTTATTTACGCTATTGTGAAATGATTACTCATGTATATCGCCCAGATGGCATAGTAATGCGTTCAAACCTTCAGACCTATATGTTATAGAACATTTAATATGGTCCCCCTGCAGATTGAAAAATTAGCGAGCCATTACAACAAAATTCTTTGACAAAAACACGCTACTGTACATCATGGTAGTGAGTTGGCGAATTTTTCGAGCAAAAGTGACAGTCAACATAAGTTAATTTAATTTCTAATATTGGGAATGCTTGGCCATCAAATATAACAAAAGTAACTGCTGCCAAAAATTTCCATTTTGAATATTAATTATAAATTTTGAGAGTGACCAATACTTATGACCGACTCCATCACACGTTTTCTAATGGTTTGTAATTAATTGTGTCAAAAATACTTGAATGTTAAAATGTTGAAATACCCTATTTTGAAGGTAATGAAGTTATGTGCCATCGAGAAAAAATTTGACCAACGTCAGTAACATATGAAGGTTTTACATGCATATGAAGATGTGACATAAAAAACGACCAATACTTTTGTCTACCGGGTGTATTATGTAAAGGGTCAATCATCCTTTATGTACGCCCCTTATTCATAAACTACCCTTTTCCGGTGGTCTAACAATGCGATGGGGTGAAGTAGAACCCTCCGATTTGGTTGAAATTATGAAGTTAGGTGGTCCAAGTCAGTACAACTAACGTTTCTTCAGCCAGTTTGTGCGATGCGCGATGGTTGGAGTTACTCAAAATATTTGAGGTCAAAGTTGAAAAACGGCCGACTTTTTTCAGGCGGAGTGAGAAAACTCCACTTCCAGTCTCTTCCCCTCGTATTGATTTTCACTCCGAAAAATTGTTCATTTCATCAATTTTAAATTTAATTTATTATAGAAAACCATTAATTATTCATTGCACATGGGTCTTGGTCTTTATTTTCAAATGAATTGGAAATCAGAATAACCAATCGTTTCGAAATGGAAAGTAAGTTAAGTTTTCCATGTTTATTTGCCGTTAATGAATTTATAAATTAATGTTAGTATGAATTTTTAATCCAAAGAAGTAAAAAATCCCACTTATTCAACTATGAATTAAATTAAGCGAGTATGAGGCGTTTTAATTCCTATTTAATAATGTTTTATTTTGGTTATTTTGCATCACTGCTTATACTTGTGCATAAAGGCGTATATATGAGAAACCTGAATAAAATCCATGCGAGGGGAAGAGAATGGAAGTGGAGTTTTCTCACTCCGCCTGAAAAAAGTCGGTCATTTTTTCAACTTTGACCTCAAATATTTTGAGTAACTCCAACCGTCGCACAAACTGTCTGAAGAAACGTTAGTTGTATTGACTTGGAGCACCTAATTTCAAAATTTCAGCCAAATCGGAGTTACACTTCACACCATCGCATTGTAAGCTTTAAGTTAAATTTTGTCCAGACCTTCTACATATTACGTACATATGTATGTAATTCCGGGGGCACGCAGACATGTCGTGGTTTATTTTTTAAATGACTACGTAAAACTCTCTTCCATCAACTTCCATGCATTGGTGTAATGGTTACATACAAACATGGTAAAGCAATGTATGTATATGCATGCTACAGGACAAGGCTCGTCCTTTATGTACGGCCCCTATTCATACAGCGACCCTTCCCAAGTAGCCGAAAGGTTCAGCTGTCCTTGATCCCAGTGGTGATAAATTTATGGCTAGTCGGTCAAAAGTTTATACCCATAAATAGTCATATGGTCACTTGCTGGTTATAATCCTAACCACACTTCTTACAGTTAAATGCAGCTTGTCTTACAATGCATTAACTTTTTTTAAGCTACACAGAGATTGACCATTGAGTTATGTCAAAAAATCAAGCCAAACATTAGGAGTCACGTGATACACATGTTTCAGTTGAATGGCCACTTTGCAGAAAAATACTGAAACAATTTTTTTTGCATCTCATTATAGTCGAAGAATTCAAATTAAGAATATTTTTGAATGATTTATTTATGCAGAATACAGCTATTCATAAGCTATTCAGGTATATCTTGCTTGAAAAAAGGTACATTGTTAGTTTATGCGACCTTTAAAATTTCCGAGAAATCTGTGTATGTAAATTTGACGCATTTACATATATTTCACTTTTAGCGTGTTCTACATACCGCTAAAAATCTACACCTTGCGTGACTAAATATATGTACCATATTTATGTGCCTGCAAACCATTTAATGAAACATTTACATATTTATAAATCGATCAGAAATACAAAATGAATTTCGTGTCCAATCTACTAAAATAAATTAGAAGTTGTAAATATTTTTGCTTACTTATTTCAGCTGCCTAATTATCATAATTGTTGTTCCTATTTGTTTCTTAATTTACCTCTATCGATCATGCAACACCGATACTTGGCCTACGTAGAACTTAGACGGAGAAGAGAAAGGTAATCCGTTCGGGAATGCCGATAAGAGTCTTATCTGCGCAAAAATTAATATATATTAATTTTATTATCTACTTATATAAATAGAAGCATATGTACATATCTATTAAATATGCATATATGTATTTATATTAGTTTTTCGAGCTAAACTTATGCATACACTCTTAAGAAATGTGGTATTAAATCATTGCAATTCGTTCTATTCGTTAATTGGAGAATATAATCCAGAGTCCGAATTCCAATCCTTGGAGTTTTCTCCCTTCTCAAATCCGAAAATAAATTAGGAATTTAGGGATCCGGTGTAGAGTGAATCCGATTTCTGACAGTGCACTTCCACAGAAAAGTTACATCTACAAAATGACCAAATCAATTTACCTTATCGTAATTGTTTGCTACACTGCAAATCTATTTATCATTCAGTTCACGATGGCATTGTCGACCATAAATTTGGCATCGATCCTCACATCACAAGTTCCCTGTCGATATCATCTCGTTTTCAATAATATTTCAAACGCGAACTTACCAACTACCCGCCATATTCCTGTCACCCTGACAAAGCGGGAAATACCGGACAGTTTTAATATACGGGACCACCAACCTAGCAAAATCTTCTCAAAGCTTGCTCTGTTCCAAAATAAGGGCTGGTTTTGCGAAATCGTCCTTCTATTCGTTACCACAAATTATAATACACAATTCAACCCATCCGCGATAAGATATGGCCCAAAGTTATTACTATTTTGCACTTAATCACATAACAAATTTGGAAATTTACCCGGACAATTTACATTTTGTTTTAATTCCAAGTACCTCAGATATCCCTTTATTCTGAATCCCTCGGCAACGAGGTGCAACCCTTCACATTTTCAGTGCTACTATTTCTCGCGGGAAATAAGGTTCAATCATGTTACAAAATGAGCCTTCAGACTTCCCTACTTTACAAAATTTCGCCTGCGAAGTTATCCTTACAACGGAAAATACCGTCCTATTCGACCCTTCAAAGTACCCACCATTTTCCGAAAGCAATTGGGCAGATTACTCCAATACTGTGATGAACCCCGGATTATCTGAAGCTCTAATTGGCATAGCCTTGCAAAAACTTAATGCAACGAGACACATCGGGAATACTTGGTGCGATTCGGTGCCCTACAACTACCCGTCATTATTTCTAGAAGGTTTTATCATTGGCGTATTTCGCCATCAAATCGTTATTTCGTCTTTTCCCGGGTATTCGTTCTTTTCCTGCTACTGGGAACCCCGTGGTGTCTCATTTTCACTGTATTTAGCACCATACGATACTACCGTTTGGATTGTCATGCTTATCACGATTCTCTTATCAGCGTTCCTTGTATCACTGGGATTTTATCTTCATCACAAGAAGTGCTACCCATTTACAATTTTCTTATACTTTTTCGGTTGCCTTGTCGAAGATGTGGGCGCCCTGCCAGACAAATTGAGAATTTTTTTTCCCTTTAAGCTGATAAGTGTTCCATGGCTCTTCATATCCGCCCTCTTAAGTTCTTTTTACCTGGGTATCTTCATCACCAATTTAAACTCACGGCTTCCCGGGGAACGGGTCGATACTTATGAGAAAATTTCTTGTCAAGGGAAACCACAGAATGGAGTAAATTTCAGTATGATAATTGCGAGATTTGCGTCACGTGGGAACTATACTGGTGAAGGTACGAAAACTTTTAGCATTCCTCGAATAACTGTTCATTTTCATTCATTTAATGGACAATAAGTAAATTGTTCATTCATCACCCAAGAAAATCATGAAGATGTAACAAACAGTTTTTTTTAATTTCTGAATGAATACATATTGAAAAAATGTTCATTTTATATTCCTAAATAATGAATGAATAATTATATTAATTATTCATTTCTAGTGCTAAGCTTAATGCATGGGACATATTAGAAAGTCCATCCAACAAGCGAATTTCAGATAACAGAAAAGAAAATGAATAATGAATAAATATTTATTTTCAGATTATAAATATATAAATGAAAAATGAATGAATATTTTTTCCAGTTTTTAAATTCAATCAATTCTAAAACGAAAAATACATATTTTTGAACAGGATTGGCCAAGAAAAATCTGGGAGGTTTCTGCTACACAATTTTATCTGAATTTGTCTCATTTTATGGAGCAGCATATGACCTCGACAATTACAAATTTTCCGAGTATTTCGACTACAACATAATATTTCGAACCCCTACATTCCCGCCACATTTACAGCGATTTCTCTATTCCATGCTAAATCCAAAAATTCGGTGGTGTCCGGATAAATTAAAATTTCCAGAAAATGCAACCGTTACCCGGGTAAATCGTGCCATCGAGGAGGAAATTTTGCAGTGTGACAGATCTGCTTACACCGGACCGTCCAGTGAGGTTGACTCGTATTACGTATATTTAAAGAGAAACTACCCCACCAAAAAATGGTATCGTGGCCGAAAAACTGTTT